GGCAGATTGACAGTTAAACTCCAGGCCACACAAGGGTTGACTGTGCTACCGAAGTGATTGAGGGGGGACGTTCGACGGAGAAAAGAAGAGGAGAGAGGAGTCTCAGCTGATGGTCCTGCCAGAATCACGAATATCATCACACACTGCGACGGCAACAACGCAAAGAACTCTTAACAGGTTTTCGTTTACTTGTTTTTAGTATGTAGAGTATTGTTAATAAAGCAATAATAAAACAGTTAAAGTGTGGCCAGACTAACCTTGCACCCCGCAAACAGGCCACATAGTTCAACTGTTCTTGAGTCAGCAACACAACATGACAGACATTGACAGAGTATATTTTTTATGTACTATGACTTATGACACAGGACACAGATTGAATATTTAATTGACAGATGTAAATACGAGTGCGGTGTTGCCGAGCGCAACTTTTTCTCACCACTTCCCATAATTATTGTTCCTACGTTTTGTTTTTGATTAGGTTATTTCTAATAAAAGAAAGATACATGTGGTAAAGGTCCCAAGAACAGTACATACCTGAAAACGATAAAAGCTCAATTAGTTTCCATCCTATAAAAATAAAAGTAACATCAGCATTTTCAGCAAAGAAAATACTGGAGTTTTGTTTTCTTTTTTTTTTTTATAAACTCCTTTAATCTTTGAATTATTTTAAAAAGTAGAAATTTTTTTACATTATCAAAAATTGTTTCAAAACTTTATTTCCAATCCTAAGCATTTTAAATTTGTCAAAATTTCAGAATATGTTGTTATAAACGCGTTGATAAGAACGTGATTTTGTAAGAATCATAAATTTAAATTGATATGTTTCCCTAAAAGTCGTTCTCTGAATGCGCTTTTTGTATTTTTATAATAAATCATTCATTTTTTATCCAAATTACTTCTATAAAAGCTTATTAGGGTCTCATCAAATACTTAAAAAATATGATTACATTTTTTTCGTACAGCCTGCTCTTTGTTTGGTTATTTACTGTCAAATTATTTACTTTCGAATTAACTTGAATAAACAGTCACCTTCAGCAATCTATAAAAGAGAGCCTGGTACTCGGTAGGATAAAAGGTTTTGACTTTTAGAAGAACGGGATTGAAATGAATCAGAAATGGTAGACGAACAAGGAAGAGGGTCATTAGTTGGTCTCGTAGTTTCAGTCCTAGGAACAGTGAGTGTAGAAGCAAAGAAATCTTCACTGTTAAAAACAATTCTATAAACGTATAAAAACCAGTCATTTGAAGCCGTTTACTGCTGTGTCCCCACGTTGTACTTTAAGATCTTTAAGGTCTGGTCAAACAATTCCATCATATCAAAAATACTTAAGGGCCTTGAGCTACGTCTTAAAAAATCTCACTTCTTCATTATAGTGAGACTTTAGGAGACCCACAAAGGTTTTGTCTAATGGTTGGATTTTATGTGAACTATGTGGGGGTATACATAAAATCGTAACATGATTTTCACTTGCTGAATTAATTACATCAATGTGCTGCTTGTAGGTTATGTGCCCGTCAAGGAGAAGCAGATAAGACGACTCAGCTGAAGGTTTTGTTATGAAATGTTTAAACCATTTAGTAAAAATATTTGTCTGTATCCAACCAGATGGGTGGCATGATGCGATGGTCCCTGGAGAAGCACCTCTAAGAAGTTGTTCTTTCTCAGAAATATCATAAGAGGAGAACGAAGTCACCTTCTGTACTCATACAGAGAATAATGTTACGAGAGAACCCCTTTTAGCCGAAGTAATTGACCCAATTTGACTTTTTGATTTTAGGCCTATCACATAAGGAACTTTACTTTGAACAACCCTAGTAACACACGACGTCCAGTTTTGGTCCGGACGTCCCTGGACGTACTTTGGGTGGACTAAATATACATCTGGTACATCTGATTATGAATGCGAATAATATAAGTTAACATTACGATGTACCTATGTGAATGTTTTCCAACTGTCCTGTATGTTTGTATTATTTTTTTTACTTTATTACAATCTTTGTGACATTTAAGTGAATAATAATAATAATAAAGGTTTTAAAGGTAAAACAATATTAATACTGTAATCTGTATCTATGGTTTCACATACAGACAATATGTGATATATTATATGTAGTACAATATTGCTAAACATATAATCTAATATCTTTGTTTAATACCTTGTGTCTACCTATCTTTAACAATTTGATTTAAATCATAAGTATTTTTGGAAGGTCACTGCTTTGTTTGGTGAGGTTTACTGTTTCTAGAAATTTCCGCCACTACAGTTGAAACATTCTCTTTACCAGACTAACTTCACCAGAACGTTCTCTATACTTTTATCCATTGATGTTATTCCTTATAAAAGATTTTTTTGTCATTAAACTGTGCTTATATCGTTCTTCATGTGCCTTGTCCGTTCCGAACGTTGGCAATCAACATGGCTATTCTGACTTTGTTTACGGCAGATGACAATCCGAACCATTGCCGCAAGTTTTGGAGCCACGAGTGTCTTCTCCTCCCTGGACCCCTTCTGCTGTCTATTTTCCCTTGAACTCTATATTATGCTTATATATGATTTTTAATTTATTGCCATAGAACAATTTTCTGTTTGCATAAGACTTCATCGTAAAAATATTTATCCGTTACGGTTTGTATTTTGAACAGTTTCTTTTACTGCTCCTTTATTCCCGTTTGACCACTTTTGCGATTTTCTCTTTATCATAATAAAAGTTGATAAAACGGAGAAATGTAAGATGAATACATTCATAGCTACACTGTATGTATTATTATCTACTTTTCTAATAGCCTTGGTGAATGGCATTTAGTAGTGTTTATTTTTCCGAAAATTAATAACATTTTTATATTCAAATGTATCAAAGACTCTCAACAGATATAATACTTGTGAACAATTTTAAATGATGAAGAATAGTTAAGATAATTTTGGAAATGACAGGAAGGTTAAATAATTATCAAAAATTACATAAAATTTATTTTTACAAAATATTAGGTCCAGGATTGTTAAATTTCTTATGACAGGACTGCTCTTTGTGCGTCTTCATGTGTTTGCTCAGGTATGACTTCTCTAGGAAACCCTTGTCGCAGAATGTACACACGTGACTGCGATCCCCCCCGTGAACTTTCTGGTGCACCTCTAGATTATAATGGCTATTAATCCTCCGCGCACAGAAACTGCGCATATGATTTTTCACCGCTGTGGATCAGGACGTGACTGTCATCACATACCGGTGGTAAAACTGCTTAGGGCAATCGAGGCAGTGATAGGTGGGGGATCCTTTGCGCGTTCTGAGTTTATGCATGTGCCTATAATAAGAAGGAAATAAAAGGTATATTTTACAAAAGTTGCGTGTGTGTGGTGGTGTGTGTGTGTGTGTGTGTGTGTGTGTGTGTAGATAGTGGATGGCATCAGAACTTGTCTATTTGCCACAAAATATTTGCATTGTTTTTATAATTATTAAGGATAGGATAGGGATACAAAACATGGCCACTCATTTCTTGTCTAGGGACCCATCAAGACATTTTTATTAAGACGAACTAGACTAGGTCACGGGCAGGAGGTATTAACAAATGGGGTAAAACAGAGGTTTGGATTCTAATTACATAATGTTTGTAAATACACATAATACCGATATATATATATATATATATATATATATAATATATATATATATATATATATATATATATATATATACATATATACACACATACACATATTTAACCATATATGAGCTAAATTTCTATTTTGCTTCTAAAACAAATTTGATTAAAAAGTTGTATATTTCTTTCTCTTGTTGTGCTAATAAAGTAGGAATGTTAGTTGGTAGACTTACAAACTTTTTGAGTTCTAAGAAAATGTGATTTATATCGGCTAAAGATTTTTCTGGACAGTGACGACAACACGGAGAATCTAAGATACCAATGCGTAACAAATGTACTGGAAAGCGTTTTAAACGTGAAATAAATGATGACTTATATCTATTATAATTCCACGAATTGATGTAAGGAGTGTTCTTCGGTAAAACCGGTTGAAGTTTAAAATAGAGGTTCTGTGATGTAGTTGAAAATTTACTGTCCTGAGCTTCCCATCCAACCCTAACATCAGGCTTATATAAATTAATAAGATCTGATGAGTTGCACATGTTTACTTTCAATTCTGAGTCAAGTGCTTTTTTAACTGCGAGATAAACTGCTTCATTCCCAGTTATCCCTGAATGTCCTCTATCCCAGACTAATGTAACTCGTACACCATATTCCTGCAGTTTATATAGACTATTTTTTATAGATAGAACAATATTTTTGTTATAATTATTAAAAGGAGGGCTTCTAATGGCGTGCAAAACTGAGAGTCTGTTACAATCACCACAGATAAAGGTAAATTCCTCTCCCACCAATCTAAAGCTTTCTTAATAGCTATAGCTTCTGTACAGTACTGTAGATTGAGAAATTGCCAACAGGATACAGGCTGATTGGTTTAACTGAAAGCGAATGAGCGGAGGAAGTGTGATCGAAAAATCGGGGAAGGGCTGAAAGGAAAGATATCAAAAAGTGTGGTGAGGCCTTGGTGTATGGTGGTGAAGTGGGGCCTGTAAATAAGATTCAGGCAAAGAAGATGGAGGTAGTTGTAATAAAAATGTTACGATGAATGTTGGGTACGATTAGAATAGACAGGATCGGGAAGGAATTGATTGGGGAAAGAGCCGATTACAAACTCAAAAAAGCTTGAAATGAAATCGTAGGCTTCCACGGCCAGAGTCAGAATTTATAGTTTATTCGTCTTCCGGTTTGGACCGTGTCATTTGTGAGTGACCCAAAAGTGGGTTCATCTCGACGTTTCGCTACAATTATATGTAGCTTCTTCAGGAGAAACAAAGAAAAAGAAAAAAGAAAACAAAAGAACAGGAAGATGGGTAGTTAGCAACGGTAACTCAGTTACTCAACGCAACCAGAGGCGAATACTAACTACCAAGATGGGCATTTGGTCACAGTAACTCAACTACTCAACGCAGCCAGAGGTGAAAACCAAATGCCAGGACAGGGATTCACGTCCAACAGCTCAGAACACTAACGCGTCGAGAGGCGGGGAGTGAATCCGACGATTACTCCGCTACCGCTCTATTTATAGTCGCGGTGCCTGTCGTGTCGGGACGTATCGGCACACTTCGTGGCGCGAACGTCAAGAAGCGCGCGCTGGCCAATCATGTGGTGGCGGGGACCGGATGGTGGCTCTAGACTGAGATTCCAGATGGGAGACAAGTAGTATCCTTCCTCTCGATTTGATTATGGGGATTTTTTCGGATCTCTAGAGATTCGCGGAATCTCTAGAGATCCGAAAAAACATGATTGGCCAGCGCGCGCTTCTTGACGTTTCGCGCCACGAAGTGTGCCGATACGTCCCGACACGACAGGCACCGCGAACTATAAATAGAGCGGTAGCGGAGTAAGTTCGTCGGATTCACTCCCCGCCTCTCGACGCGTTAGTGTTCTGAGCTGTTGACGTGAATCCCTGTCCTGGCATTTGGTTTTCACCTCTGGCTGCGTTGAGTAGTTGAGTTACTGTGACCAAATGCCCATCTTGGTAGTTAGTATTCGCCTCTGGTTGCGTTGAGTAACTGAGTTACCGTTGCTAAACTACCCATCTTCCTGTTCTTTTGTTTTTCTTTTCTTTTTCTTTGTTTCTCCTGAAGAAGCTACATATAATTGTAGCGAAACGTCGAGATGAACCCACTTTTGGGTCACTCTACAAATGACACGGTCCCAAACCCGGAAGACGAATAAACTATAAAGCTTGAAATGGTTTACAAAGACTGCAATGGTTTGGTCATGTCAGACGTAGAAATGAAAATTATGTGGGACAAAGAATAGAGATGTTAGAAGTTGATGGAAGGAGAAAGAAGACACGAATGGATAGAAATGAGTGGCAACGAAGAAACAAGGAATAGCGATCCCTGAAAAGGGAAAATCTTAGGAAGAAGTAACAAAAACAAATTACAATCATTTCAAAAAGTTGAATTGAGTTTTGATAGAAATTCACTAGAGAAAAAATACAAATTATAATAAATAGATAAAGGGTGCTATTAAATTTGGTGTGGTAATTCCAAAATATAAAAAAATACGAGTGGATCTGGAAAATAAGGTCGACATAACAATATTTCGAAGTATCATAATAATATTTGTATATAGTAGCAAACAATAACAGCGAAATGAGATGGCCAGAGTCAGGATCATGTAAAACGGACGGAAGTGTATTATATTATTCCGGTAACAGCACAGAACACCCACATCACAAAAATGGTAACATCAGAAATAAGTAAATATGTGACCAATTTCGTACCAGTTTCGGATAGAATAATATTACTCCAAATAAATACTTGCGCAATTTTCAATTGCACACGGTGGGCGAGCAGCTATTAAAGATCACTTAATGTGTGCAAAACACAAGACTGGTGTAACGGCGATTGCAAGTACTTATATCAAATTTTTTTTTTTTTAATGATGATCCCATTCAAAACGATTTAATTATTGCAGCTAAAGAGGTCACATTCGCTTATCACACGGCAATGCATGATATAAGCTTCAAAACATCTGATTGTACGTCGAAATTGATTTCAAAATTTGGGGTTGCGAGAACCAAATGTGAACCGATCATTTTAAATGTGTTAGCACCTTTGTCTTTGTCAGAGTTACACACCGACCTACAGAAGGCTTTTTTCGTAAGAATTACTAATGACACCTCAAATAAAAAGCACACCAAACTGGCACCGATTATTGTTAGATACTTTTTACCATTAGAAGGTGTACATGTGAAACTATTGAATTTTGAGTCCGTTCAGAGTGAGACATCGGAAATATTGACTCAAAATATAATTTCAATATTACGTCGTCATGACATTACAAAAAAGTAGCTGCATTTTGTGGCGACAATTGTAATACAAATTTTGGAAGTGTGCATAGAAGAGGACAAAATAATGTTTACAGAAGACTTAAACAATAACTCGGTGTAGATATTGTAGGAATTGGATGTGGCGCACATATTGTACATAATGCACTTCAAAATGCTGTGGATGGTTTACCAATCGAAATCGAAGCACTAGTTGTAAAAATATATAAACATTTTCATATCTACACAGTTCGAGTAACTCAGTTGAAGGTATTCTGTGAATGTGTAGATGTGGAATATAAAAACCTAATCCAACATGGAAGTACCAGATTTCTTTCTCTTTTGCCGACAATTGAGAAAATCCTAAATATATTCGAAGGACTAAAAGCATATTTCCTTTCCCAAGATAACTGTCCACGTGCAATGCAAGATTTTTTTGAAAGTGAAACGGGTGAGTTATATTTTTGGTTTGTGCATGGACAATTGGTACGTGGTACAACCAAAAATCAAATAGATCACATCTCTAATAGAAACCAGGCACTTCTCTAATCTAATGGATGTACGTACTTATCGTGGAGCTAATATAGATTCAGACCACTTCTTAGTAGGCGCAAAAATAAGAGCAAGAATCTCAAATGCAAAAAAAGAAAAGGGTAAGAAAAGTACTCGATACAATTTAAAACTCTTGAAAGAGCCCCGTGCACTAGAAAGGTATCAAAATTACCTTGAACATGAAAGCACAACAGATGAGAATTTAACAGCTAGCGAGCAATGGGATAATATGTAGAAGAAACAATTAAGGAAGCGGCAAACAACGTCCTAGGACCAGAAGAATCCACTCCACGCAACAATTGGTTCGACGATGAATGTGAAGATATCACTAAAAGAAAAAATTATGCATATAAACTTATGCAACAAAGAAGAACAACGGGATAAGGAGCAAATGTACAAAGATCTTAGGAAGGAGGAAAAACGCATACATCGAAGGAAAAAGCGACCTTCGAAAACCAGATTATGCAAGAGCTATCAATCATTAAAGGGGCAAAATGAAACTAGAAAGTTCTATAATATCCTAAATAAGACAAGAAAAGAATTTAAACCACGGCTGACGATGTGTAGAGACAAAAATGGTACATATAGTCAGTACCGGCTGACGCAGTACAAGCAGATGGGTTGAGCACTTCAAAGAACTACTTGGTACCGAAGTGGAAAATGATGCGTCACCCCAAAGACCAAGAAATAAACACTCACGTAGAACCTCCTTCAATATTTGAAGTGAAAGACGCAATCACACGACTCAAAAATAGCAAGTCCCCAGGAGTGGATTGTATCCCCGCAGAGCTCATCAAACATGGAGGTAACAGCATTATGCACCAAATTCACAACATAATAGTCAAAGTCTGGGAAGAAGAACAAATGCCAGAGGAATGGTGCACTGGAATCATATGTCCACTACACAAAAAGGGAGATTTGTTGGAATGTAAAAATTATAGGGGTATAAACTCTTCTGAATACAATGTACAAAATATTCTCCAACACCCTCTACAGCCGTTTAAGTACGTACGTGGAAGAAATCTCTTGGTGAGTATCAAAGCGGTTTTAGGCCAGGTAGGTCAACAATTGACCAGATTTTGTGCTACGATCAAATCTTAGAAAAAACCAATGAATTTAATATTGACACGTTTCATCTCTTTGTGGACTTTAAGTCAGCGTACGATAGCGTCCTAAGATGTAAATTATATGAAGCCATGAATGAACTTAACATTCCCCATAAATTAATAAGACTTGTAAAAACAACTATGAGTAAAGTGATCTGCAGAGTGCAAATACAAGGCGATATGTCACAAGCGTTGAAACATATGCAGGGTTACGGCAGGGAGACGCGCTGGCGTGCCTTCTCTTTAATATAGCGTTAGAAAAGACTATAAGAGATGCCGAGTTACACAATAGGGGAACAATCTTTAATAAATCAACGCAGATTATGGCGTACGCTGACGATTTGGATTTGATTGCACGTACTACACGAGGACTTAAGGAGATGACTTCCACCTTCTTGACAGCCGCACAAAATATGGGCCTTAAAATAAACGAGGAAAAAACCAAAATGCTAGCATCTATTCCAAATAACAGAGATAGAGCTAGAAACGCCGAACAAAACTTCAGTATAGACCAATATAATTTTGAGGTAGTAAATAAGTTTACATATTTGGGTTCTCTCATAACAAACGATAATGACACATCTGAAGAAGTTAAACGGAGGATACTGCTAGCAAACAAATGTTATTTTGGACTAAGCAAGCAGCTAAAAAACAGAAACTTAAGCCAGAAAACCAAACTAATAATATATCGAACACTCATCCTACCAGTGCTGACATATGGGTCAGAAACAGGACCATCTCCAAAACAGACGCAAATCTTCTGCTCGTCGTCGAAAGGAAGATACTAAGAAGAATAATGGGCGCATTCTGTGAGAATGGTATTTGGGAGAAGGCGATATAATTTCGAATTGTACGAGAAATATAAAAAAATAGTAAATGGTAGAGATGTAATATCCTTCATAAAAATAGGCAGGCTTAGATGGGCTGGACATGTGTCAAGAGCAAATGAAAATTACCCACCCAGACGAACTCTATTATCGGTCCCAGTGGGAAATAGGAGTAGAGGCAGACCACGACTGAGATGGAGGGACGGTGTGGACGAGGACGCAAGGAAAATCGGCGCGGCAAATTGGCAACGGTTGGCGATGAACAGAAACGACTGGCGAAATAGACTGGGGAAGGTCAAGGCTCAACTAGAGCTGTAGCACCACTGATGATGTATGATGCATGGACAATTAAACAATTTTAACAAGACTGTACTACTCATGAAAAAAAGTGAAGCAACTGCGACTGACATTATTTTGGAATTAAGAAGATTGAAATCTAATCTTCAAGAACGCATGGACAGCAATTTTGTACCACAAAAAGCGAAACAATTATTATTAAAGAATTTTGGTAGTAGCCAGGATATTGACAAATTTCAAACAGAAGTAACTGATTTTTACCGACGATGCATTCCATACATTGAATTGTGGGAAGACAGTTTCGGAGGAGCCGACATTTATTTAATGGATTGGACTGAATCACGTATTGAATGGGACGAAATCGAAGGATCTGCTGAAATTATAAACAAAATACATGCTTCGGACGATCGACAAAATATTAATACTGACAACCTTTTTGACGAGCTGTCACTTACGAAAGTTTTTATAGCATCAAAGAATGATGAATGGAATTCCACGACGATACAAATTGATTATGTTGACAAATGGGTTCTACTATTTACAGAAATATATTATTTATAGATTAATTAAAACAGATAGGTTGTGAGTTTCTAAAAACGCGATTTATTTTACATTTATCGATATTAAGTGAAAGGTCATTCTTTGTACACCATTGTGAGAAATTGTTTACTATTATAATTTCATTATTCAAGGTATTATTCAAGGAAACCGGGGACGGTAAATACAAGTTAAATCTTGAAATATTTGTTATGTATGACTTCCTACTCACTTTATAATGCTCTAAAAATTGCGGATTCTGTATTTTAATGCATATTTTTTCTATAATTTTCGTTTAAAAATTGCGTGTTTTGACATTAATTTTCAAATATTTCATCCATTTTGATTGTGTTGTTGTTAATGTCATGTCACTTTTCTACCAATGTTGCCATATTTTCAAAAAATATTGTTTCTTATAAATTAATCAAGTTATGTTTTGTAATTAAGATATGTTAAGAAGATATGCGCCTTTCATCGAAAAAAGAAAATATTTTTTTTTTCATAATTTATTAACTTGTTTATATGGCAGCTTAGATTGCGTTGAGTTAGGTTTGATCTGGTTATGTTTTTCTCATTAAGATATGTTAAGAAGATAAGCGCGTTTCATCGAAAAAAGAAAATATTTTGTTTTTCATAAATTATTAACTTGTTTATATGGCAGTTTAGATTGCGTAGAGTTAGGTTTGATCAGGTTATGTTTTCTCATTAAGATGTTAAGAAGATTTGCGCGTTTCATCGCTACTGAGAAAAAAGAAAATATTTTGTTTTTCATAAATTATTAATTTGTTTGTATGACAGTCTAGATTGCTTTGAGTGAGGTTTGATCAGGTAGTCTTTTCAATTTCCAGTTTTCAAGCAACTTTTGATTTCCTGTTTGCAGTGTTGTCGACTAATTGATTAAGAATAATGTTTTTATTTCGCACTTCATTAAATATTATTTTTATTTCGTATTTCATCATATATATTGTAGCTTGTTTTTTGGTATAAACTATTTAAACTAACTTAATCTAATCAAGTTATGCTAGCTTGATTAGATTGGGTTAGTTTAAATGTTATCAAAGAATATAGAGGCGTACTGGTGTTATTTTTTTTATTATTCATTAACGAGAATAAAGTATGTCGAACTTTGGCAACAGTGTGACAATTGCAATAACATCTTTTTAGGTGTTGTTGCCAAATCAATTTTAAATATGAAAAAATATATTAAAATAGTGTTAGATATTGACAAGTTTAAATATTTTTATAAATAATATTTATAAAAATATTTAAACTTGACACGCACCACAACATTCTAATCCACCCCCTGGACTATTCCAAAAATTTTAGGTGGGTCTTTATACATAATTTGTTCTTAGTAACGTTGAGTTGTATTTGTTTATAACAAACAAAATGGCTAGTTGCACCTCATGTGAAATTTCTTACAATGATAGCGTTCGAATGGACTGTAAAAATGAAATAATGAACTTTTCTTATTCACATGGGGTGTTAAAAAATACTAGAATATGTCCAGTTTGCGGCAGTGTTTTGAAAGTGGATAGTTAAGGAAGATTTAGGTGTTACAAGCGATATCAGCGGTATCAGCAAACATAAAAAATTTGTATCCACCGGCAGATTAAAGGTAAGTAGTAACATAAAGACTATTATCTACTATTATTTTAAATTTTTATATATTCTTATTTCAAATTCTTATATATTCTCATTTCAAATTCTTATATATTCTTATTTCAAATTCATATATATTGTTATTTCAAATTTTTACAATTTGTTATTTCAAATATGTTATACATTTTTACTCCATACAAAGCAATTATAAACGTGGCAACATTGCGAATATATGTCAAATTATAATTATTATGCAGATGCGCAGAGTTCTTTTCATAATTTTAATAAATTACGACTTTTTGTAAAAATTTTTACTTTTTTAATGGTTTAGGCCATAAATATTAATATTTATATTTATATATATATATATATATATATATATATATATATATATATATATATATATATGAAATCAAATAAAACTAAAGAAATTGCGAAAAAACCTTAAAATAATAAAAAAAAAATTGCAAAAAATAGGAAATTACTATAAAAATGTAAAAATATAAAATACTTAAATAGAATATATATTCATGATTTTTAAGTAGTTTTATATTTTTCATGCAATTTCTATTTTTGCATTTTTTATTATTTTAAGGTTTTTCGCAATTTCTTTAGTTTTATCCCTTAAATTACAAAAAATAGCCTTTTTTTCATTTTTTAGGCTAAGTTCCAAAAAATTGCAAAAATAGCGTTTTCCCCGGTTTCCTTGAAATTTATCAAACATTTTCATGAACAACACATTGATACATCCAACATGGTAAAAATGGTGCAATATATTTTGTGCTTACCAGGCACCTCCGCTCCTTTAGAGCGTGTCTTCTCGATGATGAAACATATTTGATCGGACGATAGAAGCCGTATGTTGCAGTCTACCGTACAAGCATTATTATACTGTAAATTAAACTGTAATATGACAGGTAACGATTTTTACGAAAAAATAAAAAAAAATAACATTTTATTAAAAAAAGTACATACAAGCGAGAATTATGAATGGTACAAAAAATAGGTATTTTATTAATAAAAAATTTTGGCAGCAGCTTAATCGTTTTTTATGCTTTACTCTATCCACCATTTACTGTCGCGAAGTTTCATAACTATGGTAAGCCTATCTATAGACCTAATGGAAGACTGAAGATAGGAGGATGATGTGGATGAGGACACTGCCAAGAAATCTTCTTGGCAGTCGATCGTGGAAAAGAATGGCTACAGACAGTGACGAATTAAGAGGTTGGATGAGGGAAAGCCATAGCATGAAGGGATATCTGCACATTGACAAGAAACTGGCAAGATAGAAAGAAGGGCTATGATTGATGCAGCTTAAGACCGCCACATCTGAGGCAGTCCAATCCAAGGTCTGAGTTATTTTGACATTACTTACTTGTAGGCAGGATCACCATTATGAACCACTATATGTGACAATAAGAATTTTGCTTCTTAAAAACTCTACTACACGGTGGTAGGTTCAAATGAACGAAATATTCAGTGGCTTTTAACTTCTTCTGGCATACGTAGCAAATATGCAATATTTCTCCCTCGCCCCCCAACAAACCTTTATCAGTAATAGGAGAGGCTTGGTATTTAGTTTGACATATGTATTTTGGACCGCCTAAGTACTTTTTCAGCGCCTTGTGGCCTCTGATATGAAGAAGAAAGTCAGCTAAAGTTAGATCTTTGTAACAGATGGGGCATGTGTGGCTAATACGACTTGTTTTCGAATATCTTGGAGAATTGGGTCTATTAGGAGCTTCTCCTATACTAATGTCTGTTTGTAGCAAAGGTGGTTCCACTTTTGATACACACATTATACTTGGGTCAGATTCAAGAGGATCATCATCAGAAACCAGATCTTCTTTGATACAGTCTACAAACTCCCAATTAATTTCTTCGGAACCCTGTAGATCATTTGAAGTTTCTTCATATAGATCTTCTTCCACTTTGCACTCCAGGAAGTTATTGATGTCAGTATTATCTCTCTCAATAGTGTTTTGTTCGTTGATTGTTTGTTTTTCTAGATGACCAGTAGAATGCAACTGTAAGAAGGAATTGGCCTTTTCGAAGGCATATCGAATTGTAGCTATGAAAATTATTTGATTTTTGCAGGTTTCACAAATTTGAGTCGGAACATTGTCAGAGACTGCAAGCTGAAAATAAGAGGATATAATAACAATACAATCTCATCTAATACTTATTTTACTTAGTTTATATACATACTATTTCATACTAAAATTCGTATGGAACTGAAAATTAAATCATTAAACTATATTAAACTAGAACATGCAATAAAACCAATAATAGTATGTTTACACAAAGCATCAACAAACACAGAGAGCTTTACGACAGAGACGAGAGCATTTTAATGGTGGCGTGTAAATGTTGTAGAAAATACCACTCCCATCAAAACCTCCAATAAACATACAGCCAATCAAACACATATTCGAATAGCAACAAGTCTCAGAAAACCATATTAGGGAGATTATAAGAAAATTTATAGAATAACTAGTGATACCATTGTGTAAAGGAGAGGACTCAAAGCAATCTGGAAGTTATCGGTCAATATCTCTTAACCACCATATCAAAGATCTTGGAATCATATGTGTAAATTTAGTCGGTCCGCCGGATCTTTGCACATGCATGACATTATTCACGATATATTTTTAATGCTACGTCTCTTTCCTACTCACAGAAACTAAAACTATTAACTTAAACCACCTGTCCATACACAACACAATGCATTGAACAAAGACAGCCATAGAACAATGATCGCTGATTGATTCTATAGGATGATTAATAACTATAGGAAATGCACCAAGTTGCAATCATCGTATCATTTATTCTTATGCTAACTAATTCCGAAGACGACACTTGGTCCATATGCAATTTCTTGATGTTTATCTGTGACGATGTTTCTCTGTTGATCTCGCAGTTTGTTAGCTGTATTTAATTTCTAAAGATCAGCTGCTTGTTTATGCATTTTAAACGTATCGTGTTTTTCTTCCAATAAATATATTTCTTCACACTGTGATTTTAACCAATTTTCTTTGGCCTTTCATATTTGTGTTCTTAATTTGTCTGAGAATATTGTTGTACGTTCTTTTGTTGTTCTTTGATTTTTTCTTTTTTCCATGAGTTGCAGTATCTTGTCATTCATCTGACTGTTCTTTTTCTCTTTAATTCTATTAGATATTCTTCTCTGATCTTTAAAAACGTCTCTTTTGTTTACTTACATTTACATTATATTAAAAGAATAATGTTTACATTATTCTTTTTTGTAACCTTCTTAAATCTAAACCGATATTTACCAACAACAGGAACATCATCTGACGTTATGTCAGCACCATATATTTGCTTATATTCAATAAAAATACTTTAATTTCTGATAACTATGGTTTAAATATTTATTTACTGTAGATGTTATTGGACAACCTATAGGTTTCCAAAAATTGGAAAATCACGTTCATAAATGTATACGTACCCAGTTTTCCAAATGCAATAAATGAAATAAAAAAGAAGTATAAAAACGTCAATTGTAATATTAGCCATTTTCTAATTTTTATAATAATTCTTATAGCCGACATACATTTGACTCACATGTTTTGATTTATTTCCTATAATAAGAATAATGACGATGTGCAAAGATCCGGCGGATCGACTGTAACTAAATTGTACAATTCTTTGATTCATCCAGCTACTGGTTTAACAGGCAATTTGGTTTAAGACATAATTCAAGTACAGTCTCAGCTACTCCTGACTTAATTACAGATATATACAGATGTTACAAATTAGACAAAGGGTTAAGTTGTAATTTTGTATCATTGGATTTGCAAAAAGCTTTCGATACAGTTGACCATGACATACTTATTGTAGTGCTTAACAATATGGGATAACTGGAATGGCTTTAGATTGGTTGAAGGTCTATTTAAGTGGCAGAATACACAAAAGTGCTATGTAACAATATGCTAAGCGCAGCAGAAGATATTGCATGTGGAGTTCCTCAAGGGTCTATATTGGGTCAACACTTTTTCTGATTTATATGAATTCAAAATCCAATTTACCGTTTCATATTGTTTCATAATTTCAGTTCATATTGTATCTGTATGCTGATGACACTTTTCTTATGTATGCCAATAAAAATCCCAGCAAATTAAAAACTGATATAGAAAAGGCCTTAATAGAGATAACTCTTCTCTCATATGAATAAGTGTCGTTCTAAGGTAATTTCAAATGTAGATGCACATAGGGAGATGCAGTTGAACTTTGGAAAATTCAAATTTAATAAAAAGAAGATGATCAAGTATCTTGAATTGTATAGAAATAAACGACTTACTTGGGAACAACACAATTACGGTTTGTCATACAATAGCCCCAGCAGTGAGCATGCTAGGAAGAATTGCAAAATTTTTAAGTCTCTCATCGTAAAATCGTGTATTATTCTCTAATAACTCACATCTGCCTTATTTAACCATCATATTGGATAATACCAATCACAAACAGCTTCATCCTCTTACGGTATTGCAGGACAGGGCTATTAATATGTTCTTTAACTGTCATTCCTTCATCCAACAGAAGATTTGAACTTTCCACGAAAAATGCTCAAAATTGAATCAATGTAAGCTTTCTGAAGACATGGAACAGACGTAATAAACTGCATAAGTTATATAGGTACAAACCTAGACTCAGATAATTGCCTAGTGATCTCAACATTGAGGGCTAGAATTTCAAACACCACTTCTTTATGTCCTGTTCCTGATAAAATTTGGCATCACTGTTGGTCATAAAAACCTGTACTGTAAAGTCAAGGTGGGACAGACATAAGAAAGTAATAATTGTAAAGACTCATCAGTGACAAAAATTATGCAATGTTTTGTTAGTTACTTTTCTGTTTTATAATAAAATGGGAATAAATTTCTAGTTCATTCGTCTATAAGAGCAGCCCAGGAAAGAATCCAATGGAAAGAAATAGTTGCTCGTATGGTAGAAAATCACGACACTCAGTAATGAGTAAACGACTAGTGATAGATGTTTTTGCACTATATTACTCAAACTTAAACTAAAAAATGGATTGATAAAAATCTTATTTCAATAAATAATATGAAATACTTACTGGAGTAGACAATATTGACTCGAGAACTTTCGATATCACTATCTCAGTTGCTTGTGCACTTGGTAAAGTCATCGTGTCGTAAATATGCGTCAGATTATTAGATTTTAATAAGCAAGTTGCTTGTGCACTTGGTAAAGTAATCTTGTCGTTAATATGCGTTAGATTTTTAGATTTTAATAAGCAAGTTCGGCATAAGTCTTTAATATCTCTCAAATCTATAATGTCATTTCGTTGTCTATCTACCAAAAAAGAGAATATGTGTTAAAAAATACGAGAATTAAATTTAAATATTTGGTGAAAAAAAAAAAAAAAAAAAAAAGAAATACCAAAAAACCCAACACCACAAGTAAATATAATAAAATTATTTCAAACCAGCAATATTATTAAATTTACTTACTTGTCCCTGTATTATCCATTAGAGAAAGTAAACCAGCATTCTGTTTATGTAATGTTTTTAACTTCTCCTTAAGATCCTTATTTTCCTGGCTCAATCTATTACAATGTCCTTCTAGAGCATCACTTTGAATGATTGGTGCATTTAGACCATTTAGCACTAGAGCTTTCAAAGGTCGAGGTTTATAAGATCTATGTTCTGGTGTGTTTGGTTCAATCTCAATCTCGATATTTGAATTATCCCGAGAAAGTTTGGATATTAGATCTAAGTTTCGTTCGATCTCTTGGTCTTCATCTGAGGTATCTAAAAAATAAGTTTCCTTTTCATCATCATCATCATTGGCTCGACAATCCTCCGTGGATCCTGGCCGGCTCTAAGATTAGTCGCCACTCTGTTCTCTTTTACAAAAATTAAAATTTTAATATCTAATAATGGGAAAGATAGACCCGTAAATGTTTAACTAAATATATATAAAAAAAGCAAATTGTACTTCATTATTTTATAAAAACGATGGGAAGCTTAATATATACCCTAGCACATTTAATAGTCAACCACATTCTGTTAGATCACTTACAAGACGACTAAGTGTATATAGGGATACGTAGACCCCTAACACGTCGGACATAATAGAGAGATGAGATAAATCGAGGAAAGCAATCCAAACAACATGCGCTACTCTATTAAAGTGTGACAGACAGAAGAAGAAAGAATGGATCTCTGATGAAATAGTGGATATGATGGATGAAAGACGTAAATTTGAGAATAAAAATGCAGAAAACTACCAGCAGATCCACAAAATCATAAGAACGAAAATTCGAGAATCCAAAGAAAAATGGTTTTCCAACGAATGCAGGGAAATAGAACAATACGAACGTAAATACAATATGCACAAAAAAAAATCAATGACAAACAGGAGGAAATTCAATAAGTCACCCAACAGCATAAAAGATAGCGATGGAAATCTTATCTCAGAGCCATCAACGATCTTAGAAACATGGAAATCATACATAGAAAAATTATTTGCATGTGACAGGACTGATGATCACCTATATGGAGGAGAAACAGGACCTTCAATCCTTAATTCGGAGATAGAAGATGCCATTGCAGCACTAAAAAACAATAAGTCAGCAGGTCCGAACAATGTACCCTGCCGAAATATTATATAGGACATTCGAATTGTGACAAACCTATACTCGGGTCAAACAGCAAGAGCAAAAATTGGCAACGAACTCACTGAAAGTGTGCAGATCAAAAGAGGTGTCCGTCAGGAGTGTATATTATCCCCACTCCTATTCAATATTTATTCCGAGGAAATATTTAAAAAATGTATGGAAAATGCAAATGAGGGCATAAAAATAAACGGCGAGTTAACGAACAATATAAGATATGCCGACGACACGGTGATCCTTGACAGTACCATAGACGAATTACAACAGGTAATGGAAAGAGTTTATTCAGTTAGTAAGGAATACGGCCTAAGTCTCAACTTCAAGAAGACAAAGTGGATGCTGATAAGCAAAAAGCAACAACCTGCTCGAAAATTACGGATAAGTAACATACTAATTGAGCATGTAGAATCTTATGTGTACCTTGGCACCAACATAAATGCAAAATGGGAAACAGGTCACAGAAATTAAGGCGAGAATAGAACGAGCTAGAGCAGCATTTGGGAATATGAAAAAGCTCCTCATAAGCAAGGATTTGTCTCTTCCCCTAAAACTATGTCTAGTTAAATTCTGCATTTTTCCGATCTTGCTGTATGGTGTGGAGGCCTAAACGCTGACGGAGACGCTCACGAGAAAACTAGAAGCATTCGAAATGTGGGTGTATGACGCATTCTTCGTATATCCTGGACCGAACATGTCACCAACATAGAGGTAATCCAAAGAAAACAAAGAAAGCTTTGAATATAAGTACCGTCTACTGCAATTGATTGTCCAGGAAAAATAGACAGTAAGCGAGGGCCAGGCAGGAAAAGACACTCATGGCTCCAAAATCTGCGGAAGTGGTTCGGGCTCACATCGGTCGAACTATTCAGAAGCACCGCAAACAAGATCAGAATTGCCATGTTAATAGCCAACGTTCGCAACGGACAGGGCACTTGAAGAAGAAAAAGCACTATGAATTATAAATATATATATATATATATATATATATATATATATATATATATATATTATATATATATATATATATATAATATTTCACTGTACCATCATTTTAGATTCAAACATTTTCTGCAATAAACTTATATAACTCAGTAAGGAATAAAAAAGAAAGCAGATATTTTAAAGTACCAATACGGCATCAAATCTCTAACTATTGAGAGGTTAAACTTCTTGTAACAAGTTCGGGAAAAAAGTTATTGAGGTCTTGTAAAGTAGCGTCGATATACAGATGCTACTTTGCAAGACGATGCTAAATTGATGGTAAAAAAAAGGTAAAATTTCCTTTCCTTTGCCTTTTAAGATGTAGACAGAAAAACTACCTTGGATTAAATCTTTAAGCGATGCATCTATGGTCCCTTGTTTTTGTAAAATTGAAACCAATTTAACTAGTTCCGTTATTTTCTGATTCTTGCGTCGGATTGTTTGCTGTAAAACTTTAATTTTTTTTCTTAAACTGTCACATCTCTCTGGAAGTGCAGTGGGAGCAGTCTGCATAGTGACAGAAGCAACTGGCACTTTCAGCAAATTACTTTTTGACATTTTCCTATATTCCTCATTATCTAAAACAAAAGATGTAATTTTTTATTTAACTTTAAGTTACCTATCTATGTATGTACCTATTTACATTGTTTAGTTCTATATATTTTAAATATTAAGGTTAGGCACTGTCAGCCAACATACTTCTAAACATTAATCTACATCTCCACCCGCCGGATCTTTACACAAGTGTGACAAATTACTAGTATAATAGATAAATTATTAGAACAATAGAACAACATGAAAACTGATTTAGAAAATAAAATGACACAACAGCAAAACGATTTAAAATTTTATTTAGAAAGACAAATAGTTGAGTTAGAAAGAATAATTAATACTCAAGCTTCTTTATCTAATATTGTTTCAGTAACTAATGTTGAATCTGAACATGCATCTTCCATAGTTGAAGCAGGCACAAGTAGACCTAGCAAAATTTTAAATCCCCCCACATTCGATGGTCAAACAGCATGGAAAACTTATCGTTTTCAATTGGAAGCTGCAGCTAGAGCAAATAGCTGAACTGAGAAAGAAATGGCAGCCTCCTTGGTAGTGTCGCTTCGAGGACAGGAAATTACTTGTTGAAGCTTTAGATAAAAGATATGGCAAGTATCACCTAAAGCAGGTGTTCCAAAGTCAACTGAAAGTTCGACATCAAAAACATAACAAAAACCTGCAAGAATTTGAAGCTGATATTAAAAGATTATTGCATCTGATGTACCCTCAGACACCTAAAGATTTTCTGGAACAAATTGGTATACAGGCATTCATATATGAACTAGATGACATTGACATGCACCAAGCTTTCCGATTACAACACCACAAAACGCTAGATGAAGTACTAATCTCAGCCCAGGCCCAAGCGGCGAAAAGCATTACCAGATCTAGTCCAAAATTAAAAGAAATACGATTTCGAGAAAATGAAGTCACAACAGTGGATAACCAACAGTCTATTTTATCTCAGATGTTGAGCATACTACATAATCTTCAACAAAAATCTCAATATCAAAACACAAAAGGGCATTTCCAAAGGAGCCAGTCCCAGTCAAGGATAGAAGAACCAAATAATGAGTCCATAAGGTCGCGCAGATCGACATTTGGAATCCAATCACATAGTCCTACTAGAAATACTAGTAGATATAGGTCTCTAAGAAATCGATTTCCCACAAATAAAAGATACTCACATTGGAATCAGAAGTTGCACATTTAAAGGAGCAACTAGCGATTAGTAAAAGTGAAATAGAAAAGTTAAGAGAACAGTTGTCAATTTTACAGAATGACAATTAAAATAATTCCAAAATGCCTCAAACGAATTACAGGTTTAAAGTCAGTGTCAGCTTAAAGAAAAAGAGAATGTAACTAAAGAAGTAAGTCTCCAGAGGACCACAGTTAAACAGGAAGAAGATAATTGTCAGACCCTGACAGAATTCCCTGGAAAACCTTAAAAAGAGTCTAAAGAAAGATAATGACTTAAGTCATACGAGAATGGCTTAACAATTGAGTAAGACCTATTTGGGAGTAATAATAGATATACTTACTTTACTTTATCGTGTCCGGACATGTCATTCATAAAATTTCGGCCCAGTATCGGGCTACGTCGGTTCCATCTTTGTTGGCGAGCCACAAATCTTCAAGGGTACATCGATGAGGACAGTTTCTGCATGTAAGAAGATGTTCCATATTCTGTGTTTCTCCACAGTCACAGTTCACATCATCTTGGTTTATTTTTCCCCATTTTGCCATGTTTGATTTTACTGTAGCAACCCCCGTTCTTATCCTATTTAAGGTTTTCCACGTTTTAAAGTCTAGGGTCTGGCCGGCCCATTGAACCTGGGGAAGTGGAAAATACTCAGGCGGTTCATCCTTCACTGTTCCAAGGAAGCTTTTCCTAGATTTTAGTCGCTTTCGTGGTGTTCGAGTTTTGTACAGGGCATGCCGATCGTCCGCGATCTGTTTAATTTTCTCTATGTGTTCTGCAGCGCCTCTGCGTGTTGAGGGTTCTGCAAAACCCGCTGCTCTATATAGATTTGAAAGTGGCGTTGGTTTCATGCACCCTGTTACTATCCTGCATGTCTCATTTAGCGCAGTATCAACTTGTTTGGTGTGGACAGATCTGCTCCAAACGGGGCATGCATATTCAGCAGTTGAGAAACACAGTGCCTGTGCCGTTGTTCTTAAAACGCCAGGACGTGCGCCCCATTTACTTCCCGTTAGCTTTCTGAGTATGCTGTTCCTAGTTGTTACTTTCCCTCTTGTTTTTATGCAATGTTGTCTGTAGGTGAGGGACCGGTCCAGAGTTACTCCAAGATATATAGGTTGGTTTGTGTGTTCTAATGTATTACCATTCCACACAATTTGGAGTTTTCGCTTGGCTTCCTTTGTGCGAAGGTGGAAAGCGCAGACTTGGGTTTTAGAGGGATTGGGTCTCAGAGAATTCTGCAGGTAGTACGCTGTCATTGTTTTTAAGACAGTTTCGAGTTTCTCCTCCACTTCTTTAAAACTATTTCCTTGAGCACATATTGCAAGATCGTCAGCATAGAGGAAGTGCTTGGTTTCGGTCGGAGTAGGTTGATCGTTTGTGTATATATTGAAGAGCATTGGTGCTAAAACACTTCCCTGTGGGAGGCCGTTTTTTTTGAACTCTCCACCTACTTACTTTACCCTCCAGCATAACGAAAAAACGTCTATTTTGCAGTAAGGAATATACGACCTTTCCCAGATGGTGGTCATTGAGAGTATCGTATAATTTGCGGAGCAATGTTTTGTGCCTTACTGTGTCATAGGCTGCTGTCAGATCTACAAAAGCAGCCCCTGTTATAAGTTTTTCTTCAAAACCCTCTTCAATGTGTTCTGTTAATGCGAGGACTTGACCGGTGCAAGATTTGCCAGGTCTGAATCCTCCTTGTTGTGGGATGAGGTGCTTGTCGACATTTTTTTCTATTCTGGCGAGTATGAGTCTCTCGTATAGTTTTAAAAAGTGACACAATAGCGAAATAGGTCTGTAGCTACTGGGGTCTTCTGGATCCTTTCCTGGTTTTAACAAGGCTATTACTTTAGATTTCCTCCATGATTTTGGAATTTTGCAGGTTTTGCAGCACGTGTTATAAAATTGCAAGATCCAGTTTTTTGCTCCTTGGCCTAAATGCTTTATTTGTTCACTGCATATATCATCCACACCTGCAGCTTTCCCGTTTTTTAACCTGTTCAGGCCGTCGTGAAGTTCTTTTAGTGTAAAAGGAGTTCCTAGGTGGTTTGTCTCCGAATCCCGTCTTCTCCTAGTGTTTGGGTCCTTATATCGGTTCGTAGTTCTTCCATTCGTAAGGAGTTGAGTAGCGACTTGGTTTGCTGTAACCTTGCAAGGTGGTTTATGTTCTTTTGGATCACCGCTGAGTTTTTTTACAAGGTTCCATGCTATTTTGCTACTATGTGTCATGTCCATTTTTTCCAGGGTCTCAATCCACTTTTCCTGTCTGGCTTGACTTAGCTGTTGGAGTAGTACTGCTCCGCAGTCAACCGTTTCTTGGCTAAAAGGGTCAGTGGAATAGAGGGTTTCGTATGTTCTCATTAGTTCTTTGGACTCGCTGGACATCCCGGGAACGTATTGTTGTCTACATCCTCTAGGGATAGTTTTTCTAGACACATTTTTGAGTACCTCTACGAATTTTTCGTAGTTCTCTACTTTTGGTTCAAGGCGTAGTAGTTCAAAATCTAGCATGTCTGCATACTTTTGCCAGTTTGCCTTTTTGAAGTTAAATCTCCTTCTGAATGGAATAGCTTGTGGTCTGACAATTGGGAAGATATTTATACCAATTGGTCTATGCTGAGTTTTTGGTATGGGGCCATATACTACTTTGGTACATCGGTCTTCGAGGTTGTTGCTTGAAAAACAGATATCCGGGTTATATCCTCTTTTCCAAACTTTGCTAGGAAAAGATGGTGGAAGTTTAGGATCATGGATTAACGTGAGGCCACTCGTTTCGGCCCATGCATACATACTCCATCGGGACTTTCCCCTTCCGATATAATACACCATTGGTCTATTATATCTATTATTCTCGGGCCGAAACGAGAATAATAGATATAATAGACCAATGGTGTATTATATCGGAAGGGGAAAGTCCCGATGGAGTATGTACAGTTCAGCAAGTGATACTGCCAAAATCACACATTAAAAATGTGTTACAAGAACTTCATAGCAGACTTTCGAAAGGAAATTTTGGAGTTAAAAGAACACTTGCTAGTGTTCGAGAGGGATTTTACTGGTGTAGGAAATGTGGTTTATGTAATGGTAGAAAAGGCTTTAGAACAAGAAGTCGTGGTAAATTGGCACAATATCTTTCCGGTGAGCCTTTTGAACTGCAGTGGATTTCTCGGTGAACTTTCGATAACAAATTTTTTTCGAAATTTTCTTTAACTCTCTAACAATTTTACCAACTCCACACACGATAATTGCTTTCAGCCAGAATGTAACTTTTAGTTTAGTAAAATATTGTAGTTGAATTATTTTTATTATTAGTTTGATTTATAATTAAAATGTTGAATTAAATTTTAATATTTGATAAAAAAAACACAAATACTAAAAATTACCCAATAACACAAGTAAAAATAATAGAATTATCCTCAAAACAGCAATATTCTTAAATTTACTTACTTGATCCTGTATTATCTATAAGAGATGGTAAAACAGCAGACTGTTTCTGTAATGTCTTAAATTTCTCCTTAAGATTCTTATTTTCCTGGGTCAATCTATTACAACATTCTTCTAGAGCATCAAGTTTAATTATTGGTATACTTAGATCTTTAAGCACTACAGCTTTCACAGGCTGAGGTTTATAAGATCTACGTTCCGGTACGTTTGGTTCAATCTCAATCTCGATATTTGAATTAATCTGTTTAAGTTTGGATATTAGGTTTAAGTTTCTTTCCATCTCTTGGTCTTCAACTGAGGTATCTAAAAAAAAGTTTTATTTTACAAAATTTACAATTTGAATATCTAATAATGGGAAAGATAAATCCGTCTGGTAGAATAACTACGCCACCTATGAAAGTAATCTGAACTACCAACATCTGATATTTCAATCATATTTTGTTCTTGAAACGATATGATTTATTACTACTCACTGTCAAACTCACTGTCAAACTTAATGTGAATTTTGGGATTATCCCCGAAAAATATTATTTTTTGGCGGTTTTCTGAAGATAATTGTAATTATGATAACTAATTATTAATTTTCTCGAAATTTGGTATATTTAAATTGATTATTGATAAATAAATAAACTTTTATTTATCCAGTTAATGTGAAATAAGTAAAAAGAAAATGTTTCCTACAGGGAACGGACCAGGATCAAATAATTTTCAGTACACTAGTGCAGTTTCTCCGACTGTAATGCAGAACGATTGTTGGTTGATTTGAGTGTGCTCAAATCAACCAAATGATACCTTTTGATAATTATCAACAACAATATCAGGTACAGCCAGTAATTGCCCAGCAAACCAACTTTTCTTATTCTACATCAAACTCTCAAGTTAACTTAAAAAACAATCCAGAAACAAAGAATGAATATGATTCGATGTAAGATGAAGAACACGAAGACTCTCAAAATAATAAACAACCATGGCAAACAATAATATCAAAAAGAAAAAGGCTTAAAAGTCAAGATTCAAGAGAAGAAGCTCCAATTACACTCTCAAATAGGTTTCAGCCACTTCCACGGAAAACTCCGCAAATGATACGAATAAAAATCTACAATCTTCAACTGTCTTTATAGTAAAAAAAATGCAGTCTGTAAAAAAATTTATAATTGTAGGTAAAATTGTTTTTTGTTATCTAAATGAAGAGAAGAGAAGACAGATGTTTCACGAGAACTGACTTCGTCATCAAGACGAAGCAGAACTAATCTGGCTTGACAATGGCAAGTGTGACCTTGCCGAAATGTCGTCAAAACGATGGTTTTTCTAAAAACCAAAACTACTTAAAGCGGAGTCAAATCCGGAAAACAACTGAAATCACATATCCGCGGAAATTTCAAATCCAATATATATATATATATATATATATATATATATATATATATATATATATATATATATATACAGTGTGTCCACTTAAGTTCGCACCATATGGGAAACTTTCTTAATATTAGTTTTACGAAAAAAAGTTATTCTTCATAAAAAGTTCTGCATGGTGTAAAAACTAAAATACAACCATCAGATATTAAAATTTTGCAGTCGTATACGAGGTATGTTCAAAAATATGAATTTTACCAAGAGCAAAGTACCTCAATTTTTTATAATTTCGAAAATTGTTATCAAGAAAATTTATTTAGAAGTCTACAACATGTTCAAATATATAGCCATGTATACAAAATGTTTTCTAAGTGTAAATGTAGAAAAATTGAGATTTTCTACATTTTGCTATTGCATGTCTACCCTACAACAGTAATAAATGCATAAGTACATTTTTAATCAAGTTGCCATGATATTTACATATCTGACATTAAACGTAAAATACATATTTGACAGTTACAATAAATTCTAATTAAAGATGCCGGTGGTATTGAATTTAGAAGAAAAAATAGAAATTGTGCTAATTGTGGGTGATAATTATAAAACGTATCGGGAAGCAGCTAAAATATTTAATAACAGACATCCAGGAAGAAATATACAACATACAACAGTTATGAGACTTATGGTAAAATTCAAAGTATACGGAGATGTTAAAAATAAATTCAGCAACAAACGTGAAAAACGCGTTGCAAATGAGGCGACGAAATTAGATGTAATGTTATCTACAGTGCAAGATCCTAAATATTCTCTACGAAAGAGGGCATTGTTGTTGCACAATGCAGGTAAAAGTACAATTGCAAAAATTTTGAAGGAAAATCAGTTTAAACCATATAAGCTTAAATTTATTCATACATTGAAACCTAGAGACTACGATAAGAGAATAGAATTTTGTTTTCTTATTCAAGAAAAAATTGAAGACGATCCTTTTTTTGTTAGAAAAATAATGTTTTCAGACGAAGCTACATTTAATTCAAATGGAACGGTGAGTTCTCAAAATTGTCGATGGTGGAGTGACAACAATCCTAACTTCACAATTAGGACTCGTGATCAATATTCATTTAAAACAAATGTTTGGTGTGGCATTTACAAAGATAAAATAATTGGGCCATTTTTTTTCGACAATCCATGACCTCTCAGAATTATCTAAATTTCTTACAAACTCACGTGTGTGATTTTATTGATGACCTATCACTACATGAACGGCAACAAATATGGTACCAGCAGGACGGCGCTACATGTCATAGTACATTGGAAGTAAGGCAGTATCTGGATCATTTGTTTAACGGAAGAGTAATCCACAGATATTCAGAGACTTTTTGGCCAGCTAGGTCGCCAGATTTAACCCCGTTAGATTATTTCTTTTGGGGTTACTTGAAAGAGAATGTATACAAACAAGGGCCGTTTACAAACGTCCAACATTTGGAAAGGGTTATTACGGAAACCATTCAGACTATAACTCCCAACATGATTCGAAATGTGTTAAGAGAATTTTGTCGTAGAACGGAAACTTGTATTGAAAGAGAAGGTGGGTACGTTGAGGCAATGGCGGTTTGATCTAAGAAAATCTATTACTTAATATTTTTTGCAAATATTTTTAACAACTTATTGTTATAATTGCTATTCATGTTAGATTGTAAAATAAATAACGTTGTTATGTGTACGAATTATTTTAAAACATCAACAAAATGCTGCAACAGTCAAGTTGGGAAACTAAAAGGTTATCAAATTTTTGATAACAAATGAGTTAAATGTTTGTTAGATATGTTTACAATTTTAAATAAATTTTCTTGATAACAATTTTCGAAATTATAAAAAATTGAGGTACTTTGCTCTTGGTAAAATTCATATTTTTGAACATACCTCGTATACGACTGAAAAATTTTAATATCTGATGGTTGTATTTTAGTTTTTACACCATGCAGAACTTTTTATGAAGAATAACTTTTTTTCGTAAAACTAATAATAAGAAAGTTTCCCATATGGTGCGAACTTAAGTGGACACTGTATATATATATATATATATATATATATATATATATATATATATATATATATATATATATATATTATATATATATATATATATACATATACCGGGTGGTGAATCGCCAAACGGGCCATAGGAAATTCAATGGAAAATTCTAAATTGTTGAATTCCTGCTTCCCTAATTATTTTACATCAAAAGTCATAAGAAACTATTTGTAGAGGACTAAAATATGTATTAAAAACAAATGTTAAAATTGTTCTACAAGTTAAATGTATTCCAAAATTTTGTAAAAATATAATACATTTTTCAGGCCACCCCTTAAAATCAGGCCACACGAGGTACAAGAATGTGTATGAGATGTTGCGTTTGGTCCTATTTATGTTTCTGATATTTGACAATATTTAAATTTCCAAAATTTAAATTTTGTGATTTATTGTTTAAAAAACAATGCCTATAGTTGATTAAAAAATGTATTCAGTTCAGGAGAAACTAGCAATAATAAAAATGTTTTATTCAGGCCATAGTGCGCGAATTGTGAGTTCTTTATTTAGCGTAAGATATTCCAATAGACCAATTTAAAGTCATTCAACAATTCAAAGGATTTTACAAAATTTTGAAAATAATGGGACCGTGATTTCTAATTGTAACTGTACAAACAATATTGCTGAGGTACCAAAAAATTTAGAAAAACAAAATGAAATAAATGTATTAACAGCAGTTGTAGAAAATCTTAGAATACGTTGTCGGACCATTGCAGACCAGTTTAATATTCATAATTATACGGCCTTAAAAGTTTTGAAAAGGAATAAATTCCGTTCATATGAACTGAATACATTTCATCAATGTTATTGCTTTGTAAACAACACTACACTAGTATTAGTAGTATTTGTAAAAATTTGCGTATTTTAGTATTTGTGTATAATTTAATCACAAAATAAAAATATTGACAATTCAAATATTGTCAAATATCAGAATCATCAATATGACCAAACGCAACATGTCATACACATTCTTGTACCTCGTGTGGTCTGACTTTACGGGGTGGCCTGAAAAATGTATTATATTTTTACAAAATTTTGGAATAAATTTAATTCGTAGAACAATATTAACATTTGTTTTTGATACATATTTTAGTCCTCTACAAATAGTTTCTTATGACTTTTGATATAAAATAATTAGGGAAGCAGGAATTCAACAATTTCGAATTTTCCATTGAATTTCCTATGGCCCGTTTGGCGATTCACCACCCGGTAGATATATTAAATGGCCAAATATATGGTATAGGAGGACAAATTCGTTAAACTTCCCGTGTTCGAATCGGTATCAATAAAGTGTTATGATATGACTCATTTCGGCCTATCCCAGCCTCATCTGACACTTGGGCTGATACAAATTCAAACTCGGAAAGTAGAACGAATGTCTCCTAAAGCTTCACCACCGCAGTGGTTTGCGTGCAGAGGCGCCACCTGCTTTGGCAACCGTGAACGAAAACCATATAATCACATCGTTTTCTACCTCTGGGCTATGCGAAATGTGTAAAAGAATAAATCTTTTAACAAAAAGCTGCTATCGCTTTGTTGTATTAAATGGCCAAATATATGGCCTAGGAGGACAAAACTCATTAATATTGGGGAAATCTGCAAGAAATACTCTAATGAGTATCAATTGTTTCGCCGAACGTTTTCGCCAAAGAGAATTAATTTGGCTTCTTCAGGGCTGAAAGAGAATAAATTATAATTAGCTACAATATATTATCTATTAAAAAACGTTTGTTCTTACCGCAACCTAGAATTATTGAGTTAGGATGTTAAAAAACTTAGCTAGTAACAACATAGTGATGTTTTTGTTACTATGTGCAAAAAAAGTTTGTTTTCAACGTTGGAAATGTATGGTAGCTTTGAATTTAAAACGCAAAGGTTGACCCAAGGTTAATCGTAAAACCCAATTTAACTACATTTAAAAGGAAGTAATTCTTTCAATTGTCGGCAATAACTAAATTTTTGATTGTTAGAAAGTTTAAATGTAAGGTTCTGTTCAGAATCAGAACGCATGTGCCGACAATTCAAGTAGGTCTTTTGAGTCTTTATGTCGTTAAGGTTCATTGGTAAAACCGAATGAAGTTAAATCACAGTTTGGGGAAATATTTTAGATTTTGTTAATTGAAATTATTTTTTAATTATATTATATTGTTCATGTAATATTATATCTTATTGAGATGTATCTAAGAAAAGCAAGGGAATGTTATATTTTTTAGTTAATGAAAATTATTATTAAGTAGGTAAGTTGTTAATGGATATACCAATCAAGTTAGTTATCTGTGATTTTGTATTGTTCTTTAATTTAATCTGTAATAATAATGTGACGTTATTTGCTCAATTATGTTTAAAAATTTATGCAAATAAAAATTTACTCTACTCTACTTAACATTCATTAAAACACAGCGACTTAGATGAGTCAGACACATAATATAAATCCCTGACAACATGATTGCTAAAAAGATAACTACAGGAACAGCTACAGGAAGAAGAAGCAGAGGTTAACCGTGAATTAGGTGGTTAGATAGAGTTGAAACTCTAGGGATACTAAAGATCAGAAGATGACAACACATTGCCAGAAACTGAACAGAATGGTGACTAATATTAGAGCCAAAGATGATGATGCATACCAAGCTATTTAATTGGTTAAAATGGATGAACTACTACACATGAACTGAATAACCATAAGCTAGAAAACTTACTTATTGTATTACCAATAAGGACCTCCTGAGTAGTTATTGCAGTATCAACAGATTTACTTTTTAACAAAGTATTGAAAGGCTGGACATTCTCCTCCTCCTCTTTTTGGACATCACTTATCTTCTTTAACTTTTTTGGTTTTGGCTGATAATACTCTGGATACGCACGATATACTGATGGTATAGCAGTAGGTTTCAATTGCCTCTTATGGGATCCAGGTCTAAAATAATAAAACACATACAACTGACACATAATTGAATTGTGCAACCTTATATTATAATTTGGTACTAAAAATAGTTTATCAAGAGGGTATGACATCTAAGAAACTGAAAGTTGTATCAATGCATTCGGCAGCAATTACTGATTAATGTCTTCAAGTTTCACTCCTATGGGAGATTGGAAATCTTTCTGGCAATTGTGACTTTGTTGGGTAAGAGTCTGAATAGTTCAATTAAACTTCATTCCAAACAATTCGCGGAGATTGCGTAGCCACCAGAGTGTACGTCTTTCTAGTCTTTTTCTGCTATGAATTATATTTCTTAATAGTTCTTATTTTTCACCTCTATGATGTGCCCAAATATTTCAACTTCCTGATTTTTATGAAATTTAAAATGTCGCATTGATTTCCTAGTTGTTCGAGAACTTGTGCATTTGTTTGATGATTACTGTATTGTACTGATTAATATACAATGCTTTTATTGGATACTTAAGGTTCACTTTTATGTATTTTCATTTTAAAATATGAAGCTGCCGCCACGAAACAACAAGAAATGTGTGACGTCACAATAAGAGTGAATTTATAATTGGCAATAAATAGTAATTTTAATAGATTAATAGTTTCTATTTAACTATTTCATATATATTGAAATATAGGTGTTTTATTCTTTTGATTAAAAAAAATAATAAATAATACAAGGAACAAAAATAAATATGTAAAATAAATTTGTAAGTTTTTGTATTCTTCACTTTTTAACCCTAGAAAGTTAACCTTTGTAAATTTTACGAACTTCACCTTATGATTGACTTGTCTTATTTGGCGCCAGTGTCAAGGAGGTGATCGAGCATTCCTCTAGTTGCACATTAATACATGAAAATCATTGATATCTGCAATAAAATCACAAAACAAATAAAACAGAAGGTTTTAAGTTACATTTTTTTCTTATTTCTCATATCTCGTAGTACATTCGAGATCAAAAGAATAGATGCTCACATTCAATTTTCTCAGATAAGTCAATTATTCTTTATAAATAATTTCAACTCAGATCAAATTTCAATTTAATACTAATCGAAGTTCAGATCCATTGAAATTATTAAATATAATATTTAGCTCCTGCATTTTTGACACCAATTCTTCTGGAGATTTCCCTAGGCTGCCATCGGATACTTGTATCTAATCAGATCCACGTGTAAGTGGAAGTATCCTTAGCTTTAGATGTTACAGATAACAATCAGAATACTCTTATTGTGGAATTTGCAGATGATACAGATGCAGATTTTAACTATGGGGTCATCCTTGAATAATTTATTGAATATCACTAATAATAGATTAGATAAAGCACAGAAATAGCTTAATATGAATAAACTCATACTGAATAGAGAAAAAACAAATTATATCCGTTTCGTCACTAAAACAAATAAATAATAGTACCTTACCAGAAACTGTCTCAATTCAATTGCAAATGTTTACTCTAAACCAAAGCACAAATTTTCTGAGGGTACATAATGACCAAAATTTAGATTTTGGAGTGCATATAAATGATATCTGTAACAGGTTAGCATCTATCTGCTACTCTTTCAGAATAACAGCAAATTAGTTGGACAAAAATGTAAATGAGTTGTACATTTTTCAAATTTTCATTCTGTAATGCAATTTGGAATAGTTTTCTGGGGGAAGTGGTAATGCTGAACAGGTTTTATATTACAAAAAAGAGCAATCTTCTTAACTTGAAATACAAGGATTCATGTAGAGGTAATTTTAAAAAGCTAAACATACTAACAATGGCTGGAACACATATATGAATGCTTACTTTTCATTTTTAAAAATAGACATAAATTTTTGAAACACATCTTCTTCACGTGCCATCTCCTCTAAGAAGGTTGGCAACCATCATGGCAATTCACACTTTCGATGCCGCTGCTCTAAATAGGTCAGCAGAAGTGCAGTTAAATCAAGCTCTCAAATTATTCAACCAGGAGATGTGTCTTCTTCCGCAACTCCTTCTATCCTGTATTCTTCCTTGCATTATCAATTGCAACAATTTATGACGCTCGCCCCTCATAACATGTCCCAGATATTCCAGTTTTCTGACTTTAACTGTATTTAAGACCTCTTTATCTCCACTTTAATTTCCACTTAAGTTTTGCTATCTGCATTGATGCATCAGTCACTTTTGTTTTGTTGTGGATCCAAGTATTTCTTTTCTTGTCTGATAGCCTAATGTTCAGCCTTTGTCTTTCCACGGCTCTTTAGGTCCTTGCTACTTTTTTCCATGTTTTCCTTTGTAAACGTCCAAGTTTGAGAACAGGAAGTATACATTAGTTGAAGACTCTTGTTTTTAAATATTGGGGGTATTTTCTATTTTTTAGTATATAGGAAAGTTTTCCAAAGGATACCCAAGCCAACCGTATCCTCTCTTTATTTCTCCAGTCTGATTTTCTTTATTTAATTTAACTAGTTGTCCCAAATATACATATTCTTTTATTTGTTCTATAGTTGTTTGTGCAATTGTAATTATTAGTTCTTCTGGTTGGTTGGTCATAATTTTCGTTTTATTACAATTCATTTGTAGACCTATTTTTGTTGATTCCCTATTTAATTCATCCATCATATTTTGTAATTCTTCCCTTTTATCTGTTATTAATACAATGTCTGCATATATCAAGTGATTCAAGTATTGGCCGTGTTAATACTCCGTTTTTCCTATTGTAATTTCCTCATAACGCCTTCCAAAGCTTAATTGGATAGTTTGGGTGATATAGTGTCACCCTGTCTGACTCCTCGCCGTATATTAATAGGCTCCGTTTGTTCAACTATTATTGGCTACATTTGGATTTAATATTCATTGGCCTTTACCTACATTTGGATTTAATATTCATTGGCCTTTTTCAGTCTTTAATAGAATGCGCAAACTCTTTTGCAATCGTGATATCAATATAAAGTTACGAATACGAATGCTGCGGTGTTATGTCTTTTCTACCCTGTTATATGGAGTTGAGGCTTGGACACTAAAACAGTTGACCATAAAAAACATCGAAGCTTTCGAGATGTGGTGCTATAGGCGCATTCTCAGAATACCATGGATGGACCGCGTCACTAACACGCAAGTACTCCAAACTTTAGACAAAAGATGCGAAATTCTAAATGAGATAAAAACTAGAAAGATGGAATACTTGGGGCACATTGTGAGAGGTGAAAAGTACGAACTTTTAAGAAACATCATGCAGGGCAAAATTAAGGGCAAAAGAAGTGTGGGAAGAAGAAAAATATCGTGGCTTCGTAATCTACGTGAATGGTTTGGGTGTAGTTCGATTGAACTTTTCAGGCGCGCTGCTAACAAAGTCGCAGTGGCCATGATGATTTCCAATCTCCGCTAGGAGTGGCACGAGAAGAAGAAGAAGAAGGCCTTTTCAATTAATATTTTTATCGTAAGCAGATAGTCGGTTGTACTGAATCCTTTTTTAAAACCGGTTTGCTCTCTTGACTGGTAATTATCTAACTTAGTTGTTAATCTGTTTGTTAGTAGTTTAGTTGGACGGTGTTTTGCAACTACTGTCTAACCCACATTTGTTTACAAATGAGGTTAGACTTGTCAAACTGCCGATCATAACGCATACTACATCAAGTAAAAATGGTATAAGCCATATCCATACTCATGGAGACGTTTGTGAACTAAGTTCTAAACCACATTCATCAAATAATATGAAAACAGAAATTTGTAAAAATAATCTAACCCATGTTTTCATTATAAATATGTGAGTTAGACGCTTGTTGTAAATTTTTGTAAGGATCTTTTTATTGTGTGTACCAGGTGCAAAATACTAAATTAAACAAATCTTTATTTTGACTTATTAAAAGACGAGAAATTTATTATTACACTAATATTACAATTTTATTTAAATAAATAAAATTGCACCAAACTTGAGGCTTTATCTTTAATGGTAAAATACGAAAGTATATTATTTAAAACTGTGAATTTTCTGTGTTTTAAGCTCGGCAATTGATTAAAGAAATTTTTAAATTCCTCTTATCGCAGATAGTGTACCGAAAAGGTAACATAATATGTTTTGCTATTACTCGAATGTTGGTACCGTAAATGCCGATAAAAAATTGCATTTATCAAATAACGAAACTAGTTGTTCATGATATAAAATATTGGAACTGTTGCTTGATAGTCAAAATTCTGGTCAGCAAAATATTGTAGGAATATGATAGGAATATTATAGGTATGATTTGGAAGGAATTAGGTTAAATCCTGATTTCGAGATTGATCAAGATTAAATCTAGCAGGAATTTAATCAGTAACAGTTACTTACGTTTACTAATAAACTCGAATTCGAAGTTTTTTTTGTGTATTTACCATTTCGGAGGGATAGATGGTTATTGAAAAATGACCATTTATATTTTTACAATTTTGCAAAAACCGTCTAAGCTGCTTTAAGTTATTTTTGCAATAAACTAGTTTTACTTATTTTGCTTTTGTACGTTTTTTTTAGATAGACTGTAATTATTGAAATATAAAAATGTGTAGATAAAGCCTTAATTTCTATCAGTGAATTTGTTAAAGTAGGTAGACACAATATGCTCATTTACTCTGTAGCATGTATATGTGGCTGAGACTATTATTGCAGAACACCATCCAGTTAACAGTTTTTACATTACATTAAGTAGCGTTATGGGCCTATAGTTTTTCAGATCTTTTCTATCGCCTTTCTTAAATAGTAATAGTGTAATTGCCTCATTCCATATGGTGGGTATTTGTTTTGTGTTCAATATTTTATTCATTAGTACATAAAGGACTTCCACTGTAGTTTTCCCCCATTTTTGAGCATTTCCACAGTTATTCCATCTTTCCCAGGGGATTTGTTATTCTTCATTTCTTTGAATGGCTTTTTTATTTCTTTTTTACTGATTTCTGGTTGTAGGTCAGAGTTAATCTTCTTTTTTATTTTCTTACGTTTCTTATTCCTCAAAGTAACAACGGAATTAAATTTAGCCACAAAAAGATAATATTCATATTGATTATTCGCTCCAAAAAGTAATTTCAAAGAATATTTTAAAATCAAAACAACTTACCTTTCTGAAAATTGTGCATACATGTATACATAATATCTACTATACATATTACATATAAAAGTATTATATTTTCATTCAGACCACTGATATGATATAACATAATATAAAACATTCTACATACCCAACTGATTTTGTAGTTTCTGTTATATCAGTTTTTAGTTCTTGATACACCAAGTCCCCACCTGGTTCCGCAGCTGTAGAACTAAAAAATAAATGTTAGGATATTACTTTCATGCCATAATACTTAAAAAGATTTAGCATACAATATTAAATGTGTACCTAGATTGTGTAAGTATCTGTTCCACAAACTTCTTTGACTCCCTTTTGGTAAACCTTTCCTCCCTTTTCAGTTGATTTATGGATAAACTTTTGGATCGTGGCAGATAAAGAGAAGGAACAGCATCACGCTTCAGCTTGGGTCCTTTCTTTGATTCATATTGCAGCAATTCTTGTTGCAAATTTCTTTCAAAGCTTTCTGGCTTAAAGTGTTTGGAACAAATCCTTGAGGTTTTAGTATTAAATTTACCTTCCCGGCAACAAGCAATAACCCACTGTTTTTCCACTACCGAGTCCTTAGGAAATCCATAAAAGCTAACAGATTTATCAACACGTTTTGTCGTCTGATTATCACTTGAACAACCAAACACTGCACAACGCATTTTACTTAACTATTCCTAGCGAAAGTCTCTAAAAAAATACAGGAGGGGTTATGAATGTGGTTGAGTAATAAGTACTGACTCAATAATAATTAAACATACCTTATTTATAACTTCTAAAACACCATAATATTGTCTATATAAAGTGGGTATACCTACAAAGCCATAGTATTCAATTCATATATTAAAATCGCATAAAGTTCAAAATATTCTTAATAATAATTCCTTCATACTAAACAGACTACAAATCAACTCAACACAAAAACACCAAATATCTACAAAGAGCTTGCCGAAGACACCAAACAAAAGTTAATGATGAAATTACCATTATAAACAATGTATTACAAAGGCGGCCACTCTCATTGTGACGTGACGCTAAACCTGTCAATAGAAGATGATCCGGTCGTAGGCGTGCGCAATATCAACATAATTTTTTATTTACTAACTGCTAACCTCTATCTAGGTAATATCTAACCAAATAAAACAATATTTCCCTCCCCTAATCTATGTAAGTAAAACAATGGGTACATATCAGACATAACGTATCCAATAATTCCAATATTGGACGATTTTCACATTTGGTCCCATTGAAGATAGTTTCAAATGGGTTTGACAGAATGAAATATTGGTTTTTCGCAGTGTTGAAATTTACATTACAAATGAAATATACACAATTAAAAGCAATAAGATATTTAAAACATTTTAAATAGAAAATAGTTTTAAAACATTTTTTAACAGTAAATAGTAAAATGTCAGTATAAACCATGATACTATGAATAACAAAATTGGATCTTCCCTTCCCGTAGCTCAAAATCGGCCGGGTTCGCGCATACCGTCGTTGGAGAGTAGAATTTGAAATCTTGTTAAAGTTAAATGGGATTTGTATGCATTCTGTGTTGAAATTACTAGACGAAAATAAGTAAAGAGGTTTAATAATTACAATAATCGTACACATAAGGATATTTCCAATATGTTTATTAAAGATTATTTATTGACACATACAAAAAACTGACATTTCGAACGTGTAACTCTCCAATGACGTCACAAAAACATGCGCAATATCTTATCCTATTCGCTGTGAGCCGATGAGTAGAGGGGATTTGACAATTTCACCAACGCTGTTAGTGGCAGTTTTATGCATTTAACTTGTAAACATTCAAATAATTGCGAATATGGATTTTTCAAAAAGAAAAATATATGATACATGTAAAAATACTGGGTACAACAGTCATTGTAAATTTTATTCATTTCCTGTTGCCAAGCATAAAATAGTTCAAAGAGAAAAATAAATTATTGCTATCAATGAGAAAAATAAGTAAATGACCTATAATGCAAACATGATATTTGTATGGTGTAAAATAAAAAAAGCTATTATATTCCGAAACATTGCCTACATGCCCTGCATTAACTTAATCTTTCCCTTTTTTTGGTGTAGCTGGTTGAAATGGGATATCATGTGATATAGACTTAAAACCAGTATAATGTTTAATATCCATTTTGATAAAATTAAAACAAATTTAAGAGGTGGAGGCCATAAAACGAAAGAAGAAGAAGAATTAAAACAAATTGATATCTAAGCACTAAGGCCTACGCACACAAAAAATAACTGAGCAAAAACAGAATAAAAATGTAAAATAAAAACAAGAATTACAACGTTACAGAGGTAAAGGTAACCTTTAACTAAAGAATATAGACGTTTTAAGCGTCTATAACCTTATTTGCTTTAACCATTAAATATTTTCATATAAACTTCTTCTTTTTCTCAATGACCTGTTGCGTAAGTAGTCATCCAGTCGCAAGAACTTATATCTTAAATATTATAATTATAATGAATAAAATAACAAGGCGTAATTACTTTTACTTCTCTACTCTACTAGAAGTAGAGAAGGCTCTTAACCAACTAAGAAACAAAAAACTCCAGGAATCGATGGCATAACAGCGGAGACTCTAAAAGCAATAGGCGAAATTGGCGTAGATGTAATGCTGGATATGTGCAACATGATATGGATCACAGGTGAATGGCCTGATGAGTGGTGTGAATCAACCTTGATCCCTATCCATAAAAAAGGATCACTAACCATATGCAGCAATTACAGAACCGTTGCCCTTATCCCTCATGCAAGCAAAATCCTGCTACAATATAATCAATGAACGGCTAAAGAACTTTCTACTTCCAGAGATAGCCGAAGAACAATGTGGATTTGTACCAGGAAAGGGAACGCGTGAGCAAATACTCAACACCAGACAGATAGTAGAAAAAGCGAGAGAACATAACATACCAATGTTGCTCTGTTTTGTAGATTACACAAAGGCTTTTGATTCAGTAAAATGGGATCCTCTCTGAAGTATAATGGAAAATATGGGAGTACCTAACCACCTAGTTAACCTAATAAGAAATTTGTATAATAAAAACTCAGCCAAAGTTAAAGTACATGGAATATATTCAAATGCATTCAAAACAGAGAAAGGAACTAGACAAGGTTGCATACTATCACCATTATTGTACAACATATATTCTGAATATATAATGAGAAAAGTACTAGATGAATGGGATGGAGGAATCACTATAGGAGGCAGAAAAATCCGTAACCTGCGATACGCAGATGACACACTTATACTAGCAGCGAATGAAGTCGAAATGATTACCATCATCGAACGGCTAAGCCGAATAAGTGAAGAATTCGGACTTCAAATCAACACAAGAAAAACAAAAATAATGATTGTAGACAGAGCAAATAATAATCTACCGCATATACGCCAAATAGGGATTTTCGAAGTAGTCGACAGATTTGTATACTTGGGCTCTCTGATAACCAACAATGGTGATTGTTCCTCAGAAATCAAACGTAGACTAGGAATGGCGGGCCAACCGCAACTGCTAAATTAATTAAAATATGGAAAGACCGAACAATAACAAGGAATACTAAGCTTAGGTTGGTCAATGCCCTTATTTTCCCCATTGCTACATATGCAGCTGAAACATGGACTCTCAAAAAAATCGATAGGAGTAAGATCGAAGCCTTCGAAATGTGGGTATATAGAAGAATTCTACGCGTGTCCTGGACAGAACATAGAACCAACCTGTCAATTCTGGAAGAGCTTCATATAAAAGACAGGCTACTAAAAAAAGTAAACCAATCATACCTAACTTACTTCGGCCACATAGCTAGAAGAACGGGCACCATGGAACTATTGGTAGTAGAAGGTAAGGTAGAAGGCCGAAGACCAAGAGGAAGATCTCCAATACGATGGGTGGACCAAATGAAGAGTTTGGTGGGAAAATCCCTACATGAAGCCGTCCATATGGCACAAGATCGCAGTCAATGGAGACAGCAGACTAATAATATTTAGGGTGTCACTAAGCCCTGACAAGGGCTAAAGGATTGAGGAGGAATTACTTTTACTATTAATTCTGTGTATTCGTTCATTAATCAGTTTACCATAATATTTCAGTGCATTATTTTGTATTTTTAAATAAATATCTATTTTTCTCGTTTTGTCATATTTTATTTACACTGATTTTACAAGAAAGTACAAGTCTCAAAACGCGAGAGAGCGCTACCGGCGAAACTCACAGCGAATAGTCATAGTATCATGAGTATAAATAATAAAATTTAAAAGGCATCTGTTGCACTGGCAGCTGGTGGTTTGAGGGTTCTGACTCTATTGCCAAATCTATCCGCTAACCTATCAAAGGGCAACTGCAGAAAAATTTTTCTAATAATTTATTACAACTAATAGCAAAAGAAACAAATATTACTTCATTAATATTTTATATAAGGTATAAAATTGTAGAATCCATAAAATAATATGATAAAAATGTACCTTTTAAAAGCTTTATCTCTTTGTAGTTGAAGCATATAACATATACATTATAACAACATGGCAACACTGCCAACGCATTATTTCGTTCTGACATTTAATTGACAGCTAATTTGAAGCTAACTTCAATGGGACAAAATGTGAAAATCGTCCTCCAATAAATAGGTACCAAAATTATGTTCTAAAACATTCAAAATATTACCTGTCCCAGTAATCAACTTCATTAAAATGTTCACTACATAATCTGGAGAACTTTGTCGGTATGAAGTGTTTTCTTTTGGTTGAATTAACCCAAGCTTTTAAAAGTTCTGCATCTTTTAACGGAAATCTATAGCAGAACACAAGTTATTAATTTAAAATAACGCAGTAAATATAAAATCTTACCTGTGAAAAGAAACAGAAGAATCTTTTTTGAATCGGTTATGACAACCATAAGCACAGCAAGAATTAACCATTTTTTTAAATCACCTTAAACCTTAAACCACGTTCGTAGTTCTCTGCCACAACCTTAAATCAATTGTTTTGGTACTAGTGCCATTTCTAAATTTCTATGGATAAACGGATATGAAATTTAGGCAGAAGTATAGAGAAAGTGTCGATGAAGTTAGCTACAAATTAGTGACAGATTTTCTTTGGCAGTGTTGCCATATCACAAACAAATCACAAAAGAGCATGCGATATAATATTAATTAATGTTACTAAACATTCTTTTTTAAGTTTTTAAATGAAGTTTAATTAATTTAAATTAACTCTAATTTTTTAAGTTTTTATTCAGATACAATTTCATCCCAAAATTATAACAAATGAGTCATAATATTGAAATCTGCTGAACATCTGTTGCAATCTGGCAACAAGTGTTTTCAATATTGCCAAGTTTATTTGCTAATCTACCAAAGGTCAATTATAATATTTTTTCTAATAACTAACTGCAACTAATATCAAAAGAAACAAATATTCATTCGTTCGTGTTTTATATAAATTTAAAAAAATACCCGATATATAAAATATATTTTTATATATAAAAATATATATAATAAAAATGTACTGTTTCAAAGCATATTTGAGGCATAAAACATACATAATAAGGACATGGCAATACCGCAAACACAAATTTGACATATCATTTGTAGCCAGAGTTGCCATCAGTGGTGAAATTTCAGCACATGTGGTGAAAAAGAAAAAAATCGCGGCCGGGATGATGAAACTGTGGTGATGTGGTGAATTTCGCTTATAAAGTTCAGGAAAGTGGTGAAAAACTCAAATCTAATTACCAAAAAATAAACTTAAGTACAAATTTTAAAATATATACATATACATAATATTAAACACTGATATGAAATAAACATTATTAAAACTATTCCGCATTTTTATTATTAGGGGTATGCTACCTATTGGTGAAAACCGTAAAATAACTTGGAATAATGTATTTCAAGAAGATAACTCCCACAGCATAAGCACAGAATAATAAACAATCAGAATGCCCACTCTCCATGGAAAATTAAGTACGCGCATCTCATTCGCGCAGACGTTCCGCCAGGTTTTAGAGGGAACCAGTGTTGTTTATGTGGTGTGCATAGAAAAATTAACCCGGTTTAATTGACGGGGCAATCATAGACATACTATACAATTATATTAACATTGTTAAATATAATAACATAAATAATAATATAAGTAAACATAAATATAAACAAATACATAACCTCACAAATCATATGTCTGTGTTATGTGTTTCCTTCTAAAACATGGCTCGCGTGCTGAAACACTTCAAAGGCGGCCTCTGAGAGTGGGCATTCTGATTGTTTATTATTCTGTGGCATAAGTATAGCTTAACGTGTTGAATTCCTCGAAATTTCAGATTAAATAAACCGTGCAACTTGCATAGGTTTTGTTCTGGTATAACCTCACTTTCTATAGCACAGATTTCACTAAGTTATTTTTGCCAACAACTACCAATCCTGTCGGTCAGATAGCTCAGCGGGCTGTGCGGCTGCCTCTCATTCGCTTCACTGTCGAATGGTTCAGTGGATGTGGGATCGAGCCCCAGCTCGGTGTACAGAAAACAAAAAGTCTAACGTAGCAGTTTAAAATTCTAGATGAATCTGCGGCTTAGACTAGAATATGCTGGGATCTGATCGGCCTATGGTGGAGCAGTACGGCAAGAGATAAGGGCTTGCGGCTCGGTGATACTCCTCCATAGATCCCTACCGGACGGGCGTAACGCCTAAAAAACCGGATATATATATATATATATATATATATATATATATATATATATATATATATATATATATATATATATATATATATATATATATATATATATATATATATATATATATCTACCAATCCAGCTACCCTTAGAGCACAAGATGGATGGAAAACTGCGTTACACGTTACATCTCACAATAGTGGTAACAACATTTCTTTCGCAACCTTTGCAAGTTTTAATTAAATCGCAATTCGCGGCACTCTCTTCTCCGGCCATGTTGCCGGGGCCATATTTTCGAGGAAGTCCTTAATATTTAATTGAGTTACACATTTCTTTCTCCCTATGTTAAAAATATTTCAAATTTGCCGCCATTTTTAACAGTGGTGAAAAGTGGTGATTTTTTGTGTAGCTAGTGTGGTGAAATTTTCTTGACTACCATGGCAACACTGTTTGTAGCCAACTTCATCGCTACTTTCTCTATACTTTTGCCGAAATGGTTATATCAGTAAATTCTTATTTCCAATTATATATGTTCTCAGCTGTTTTGAATGTGTTCCATATGTCTTATATGTTATGTTGTATATTCGAGAAGATTGCCTTTGTAATTTTTCAGACACTTCTATAATTTACATACTTTCCTTCATCCCAAAGTTTTGTTATATCTTAACTTTGTCTACTTTATTACTTTTATTTTTTTAGAACTATTTATTTGTCGTAAATAGAAATCACTTTTTAAAAACCGTGTTATTCTTCTATGTGTTTTTGACTTATAATGGAGTATTTTTGGTTAGTTAAAGAAGTAGCCCATGCTAGTAGGTACAAAAATATATTGCTTAATAAAATGTAATCGGTTACCTTTCATTCATTGACATATTTCTTTTGCACTTTTTCAAAATTTATGACAAAATATCATCACCTGTAATATAGACCTACTTAAGTCCAGACCTTTCATAGTCTGTTTGTTGTTCCTGTCCATTGCCAATTTGCTGCTCTAATCTTCCATACATGTTTGAAATATTTAAATGTTTCAACATAAATAATCTCTTTACGTTGTAGTGTAGGTTGTATAATTGGTAACAATTTTTTACCAACAAGCTGTATTGTATTTGTTGGGGCCCAACATATTGAAGAAAAAACATAAATACATGTATAGGTTTAACAAACTCGTAAAAAACAGATTTATTTGTACAAAAATAGATTATTATAAACAAAATCATTTCATGAAGTCATAATTAACAAGAAGTCATAATTAATATATTTTGGAGCACAATAGAAAAAACAAAACTCACATTTTGATCTTCAGTTTTGGTAAATCATAAAAGTATTCATCTACTATCTTGGTAGTGACTTCTTCCAATGTCTTGGGCTTCCAGTTGGGTTTCTGGTCTTTGTCAATTAACAAAGCTCTGACACCTTCATAGAAATCATTGTTTTTCAAGAAGGTCAAACACATATTGTATTCCATGTGAAGACAGTCATCGAGGTTATAGTGTTGCCCTAATTCCAACATTTTTAAAGACACTTTAAGACTAGTAGGAGACATTTTTCTTAAAAGTGCTAAAGTTTCTTGTGCCCATTTGCTGTCATCCCTTTCCAATTTAGCTACGATTTCCTCCATACTAGGAGCTGAGAAATAATCATCTATTTTTTCTATGACTTGTTCTAATGAAAATGGTGGTATATCCTTCTTGGAAAACTTGTTTAGAGTATTTTGTATATCTGCATCAGTTGTACAGCTATTTAACAAGGCTTCTTCTAACTGAGGAAGATCTTTACTATCACAAATATGAGTAGCAATTCCTGCTTTAAGTATATCAGATCCCTTTAATCTTTGGCCTGTTAGTGCTAGATACCATCCCAACTTGCCTGAGAGTCTAGGAAGGAAGTGTGATCCCCCAACATCTGAAAAATAAAGAGAATTTGATTTAGTACATAAAATTTGGAAATTATGGAAAATAAATTGCTTGACAAAATTACTATAAAAAAATAGAACATTTTTTTTAGGAAACTATAACTTTATAACATAAATTCAAACAATTTTAATAGGTAAATATCTAAATATTTAATAAAATCTCGAAATAGGCTCTAAATATCGTAAGTTATTGTTAATGATGCCCAGTAAATTCCTAAAATAAAGTGAACGAAAATGAAGGAAGTTCAGGAAGTTAAAAACTGGATAACAAAGATAACAAAAAATAATTATTCACTGTCATTCATAAACAAGGAATTTCACAATATTGAATAAAGAAAACAACAAAACTATTGACAAATTCGAAAAGTTGTTTGCATTAGCTACCCATCTATCAATCAATCCAATCCTGTATTCTAATTTAAGTCATAGATTCATTTTTTATTTTAAAACACTATGGTTAACATTTTAATTTTTAGCAAGTACGGTCACATAAAACCATTAAACATTTAGACAATGTGTGCAGAATATAACAAACAATAACACACACAGACACAAGCATTAGTCCAACATGAGTCCAACAATATGAACAGTTCAAAACTGTTATAGCATTAAGAACATACCTACTCCAAATGAAGTAAAACAATTTACAGGACCAAAAAAAAAAATCAATGTGCAATGTAGACCAACAACGAGAAACAAAAGAAAGTTTTCTTATCATTTATTAAAAATGTGACGGATAAAATTGGTAAAATATTATCCAAACATGATGTCAAGTCCATTTTTAACCAAGGAAGATTATAAAAGTACATTTATGCTCGTCTAAAGATCAAAGAGAACATTGTATTAATGAAACCTAGTGAATGCTACTTGTTTGGCTGAATATAAAAGGAATTGTTGGCTAGTCATTGTGAAAAATCAGCTGCTGCAGAACACATCATCACACAATACAATCACTAAATTTTATATGAAAAAACACAAGTGCTTATTAATTAGTCATAAAACTATTGACAGAGATTCAGAAAATTTATCGATATCTAAAAACACCCAATCAACTTTAATCTTAAAGAAAAGCGTCTGCATTTAAACAGAATATGTATTTCAGCACATATTCGAAAACTAAAAGCAATTAGCAGAAAACAGTTCCTACTGTTACATACTACCTACAATGATAATCTTTACCATGGTCGCGATAATGCATCAGGAAGAAATAATTCCAGACCTCTGCTTATAAGTGCGCTAAATAATTTATCATTACACTTACTATGCTGGTAATTAATAGGCCCCTGTGTGTACTTTTCGCTGGTTCAATGGTTTAAAAGGAAAACATGGTTAGACTGTATTTTACTTGAAAATTATAATAAATGCACAACTAGGTACAGGCATTAATGCTGAGATCTTTTTACACACTCTTTTTCACTGGCACCTAGGCAAGCTGACAGCGTTGACACAGTTGTCATTTTACAACATAATCTCATAAACATTGCTTATTTTAACTTATTTCAAAATAATACAATATCGAAAGTTTTAGGAGGTGATTTAGATTTAATATTGTCAAATAATGTTGTAAATGTCAAATGTGTTGATTTTCCTTTGTTAAACTGTGATAAGTACCATCCACCACTTTCTTTTTGTATTGATTATGATAAAACTGACTTCCTTGAATACGATTATTATTACTATGATTTTAATACTGCTAATTATATTTTATTAAACCAATTTTGAGGTAATGTAAACTGGGACAACTTACTCCACAATATTTCAGGTGTTAATAAAGCAATATCCTGTTTTTATGATATTTTGTACTGTTGCATAGATTTGTTCCAAAACAAAAATGTAAAAATCCAAAATTTCCAAAATCATATTCAACTGAACTGAAAAATTCTATTCTGAGAAAAAAAGTAGCTCATAAAAAATTCAAACAAACTAATAATTTTTCTGACTATAAATTATTCTCAGACATTCATAGAGAATGCAAAGTCTTAGCTAAGCAATGTAAAAGTCAAACCATAAAAACTTTGGAAGAAAACATGACTAATTCCATAGAATTCTGGAGTTATTACACAGTAAAAATAAACATTATGATTTATCAAACAACATGACCTATGACAACAATGAGTCAAACAATCAATCAGAAATTTCAAATTTTTTTAAACAGCATTTCTCTAAGTCATATGTAGATAACAATAACTGTGATATTCCAAGCTTTGATTATAATAAAACAATTAGATTAAGCAGCTGTGATATTAGTAGAACAGATATTTTTAATAAGGTTCACAAATCTTGTAATCCTAGAAGAATTCATTTTGGATGCCTTTGGGAAGGGGGCATGTTGATGTGATCTATACCAACTTCTCAAAGGCATTCTATCGGATTAACATCAAGATTCTTATAAAAAAACTAGAAGCACTAGAAAGAAAGAAGGCTTCAGGTTGTCAAAGTCAAGAACTGTCTTTCTGAAGAGATTTTGGTTAGGTATGGCGTCCCACAGGGTGGTCATTTATCGACTATTCTTTTTATTTGTTTTATAAATGACATTTTAGAAATCTTTGAAAATTGTGTTATTTTGTATACTGATGATTTTAAAATTTATAGAATTATTAAGGATGTTAGAGACTTTGTAAAAATGCAAAAAAAAGTAAACAATTTCTCACAATGGTGTACAAAGAATGACCTGTCACTTAATATCGATAAATGTAAAATAATGCGCGTTTTTAGAAACTCACAACCTATCTGTTTTAATTACTCTATAAATAATATATTTCTGTAACCAACAAACACTTTCAAAGATTTAGGTGTATTTTTTGATCCCACTTTATGTTTCAAAAATCACTATAATTTTATTTGTAATAAAGCTTTTAAATTACTTGGATTTTTGAAAACAACCTTGTCAAAATTCAATAACCTAGATTGTTTTAAAAGTGTGTATTGTTCTATGGTTAAATCAGTTCTGGAATATTCCAGCACTATTTGGTCTCCTTTATATAAAAGTCATGTTGAAAGCATTGAGAAAGTTCACAAAAAATTTCTGCGCTTTGTAGGCTATAAACTAGGGATTTCTTCAGAAGATATAGTGTATTGTGACATTTTAAAATTACTTAATATCCCAACATTAGAAAATCGTCATTTAATGCTAGATTTGGTTTTTCTTTTCAAGATTGTAAACGGAATGATAGATTCGCCTCAAATTTTGTAGAGAATAGGTCTTAGGGTTCCTTAAAGGTGTACAAGATCTAAGGATGTTTTTCACTTGGAATTCCAACAAATAAACTATTGTCTAAATAGACCTATAAGACGAATGTGTCAATCTGGAAATGGCTTAGATGTAGACTTTTTTTCTAGCTCTATAAATAGTTTTCGAAAAAAGCTGAAAAAATCTTTTTAAAACACAATGTAGGCTGTCACTGTAAACTGTCATTTAGGTATTTATTCTATTTATTTGTCTTGTGTAAATTGTATGTAATTATTAGTGAGTTCTAAAACTGTTAATATGATATAAATTATTTAATGAATGTAATTACTGTAATTGGTATAACCATAAATAAACTATAATAATAATAAAGTCTGAACAACCCCATATGTATCAAGAAGAAACTAGAATAATATCACATACCTAAACATCTCTACTCTATCTATAAGATTATACCTATTCAGTTTTCATGCATTCCATTGAAGTTACTCTCATTTCGCTGATATCCATGATTACTGAAGGTCAAAATTATATTATACAATGTAAAATATGTTGTAAAAAATTTGAATGAATAATATGCGAAAATATTGAAATGAAAGCTAACCAAATTACAGCGATCACATCACTGTAATTTGGTATATTTTATAATATCTAGGACAATCTATTACCTAAGTAATTCACCTCACCCCCAAGGGCTATACCAATATTCAGATTCTTTGACCATTATATTATTATGAACTGACATATACAGTGTGCTAAGTTTTGGATTAGGTATACACTCTATAAATGGTAACACTGCGCGTCGTCGACTTGCACTACATATCTGCTTCGTTGACTCGTCGTTGCTCGTCGCCCGTCGGCAAATTTGTCATATTGTCATTATACCGTGGTTGTTTAAAGGAATAACAGCGTAGAGTTTTAATTTATTTTTGTAAACATGTGTTTATATGGCAGCGGAAAAAGCTCAAATAATAAAATGGTTTTATAGTGGCAATTCTGCGCAACAGTGTGTAGATTTATTTTCTGTGTTTTTTGAGGGAAGACCAATTCCTTGTGTACAGTCAATTTATAATATTGTTAAAAATTTTGAGAGTTGTTATTGCCTCAAAAATTGCAGAAAATGTCACGCTCAAGAAGTGTTACCAGAAAAAGTTGAGGAAAGGGAATACCGGGATACACAAATTTGTGCAACAATTGAGGTAGATTCAACACGTTCAAGTAGAAGCGTTGCTAGAGAGTTAGATGTTAGCAATTTTACTGTAACGCAGCTTTATCCAGACGATTACTTTCGAAGAATGGAGTTTTGTGAAACTCTAATAACGAAGGCTAATAGTGAACCAAATTTTATTAAAAACATTTTATTCACTGATGAATCTTCTGTTTCGTTAGTAGGGAGACATAATCCTTCCATTATGAGGTATTGGACGCGGGAAAACCAGCACAGAAGTGTTGTTTACCGAACTCAACGTCCTCAAAAAGTTAACGTCTGGACTGGCATTTTAGGAGACCACATAATAGGTCCATTTTTTATTGAGGGCAACTTGAATAGTAGAGTATACCTCAATTTGTTACAGAATCATGTTCTTCCCGCTATTCTCAATCTTCCTGATGTAAATCTGGAGAATGTTTGGTTTCATCAAGACGGCTGTTCAGTTCACAACGCTCGAATTATTAGGGAGTATTTAAACAATACTTTCCCGAATCGAGTTATCAGTGGAACAGGAGATATTAAGTGGCCTGCGCGATCTCCAGATCTTACACCCATGGACTTCTTTTTTGGGGACATTTAAAAAGCATTATCTACGCTCATCCTGAGGCTAGAGCCCAAAATTTGGATGAATTAAAAAATCGAATAAGAGAAGTCTCCAATTCTGTTACAGCATAAACTCTTTCATCTGTTCGCAGAAGTTTTTATGACAGATTGGGATACTGTTCAGCCGTAGAAGGTCAACTATTTGAACCATTTCTGTAGGTCATAAAGAATTATTTTTTATTTTATTAGGAATAATATTTTAATTTTCAATAAGAGTATATTTTTTATTTTATCTTTTTAAAGAAATACGCTTTTATTTTTAATTCAACCACAAAAAAATTTTCACATTAATAAAAATCGATAACAATGCACCGATTAGGTCAGTGCATTTTTATCGAATTTCCTACTATTAAAATCGGCTATACGTAATGAAACATGAGATCGGACGACAGTGAAGTACATCCCAAACGTTGTTGTGAGTTACTAAACTAAAATAAATGATTTTCTGTTGGTGTAGATACTGAGATAGTCTCGGGTCGGAGAACGAACATTTGCAACGTTGCCGATTTTAGCGCTCCGTATAGTGTGCAATACCTAATCAAAAACTTAACGCACTGTAATATGTACTTAAATAAGAATGTTTTTTTTTCATTAGTCAGCCAGTATTTTATATTTAAGAAGCTATTGTCTTCTTCTTAGAGAAGTGCTGTCTCCCAATTGGAGGTTGGATATCATCATCACTATCTTGATTCTATCTACTGCTGCTCTGAAGAGTTCTATAGAACTACATTTAAACCAGTCCCCTAAATTCTTCAACCATGACACTCTCCTTCTTCCTATACTCCTTCCTCCTCTTATCTTTACCTGTATTATCAGACTTAGCAGTTCATATCGCTGTCCCCTCATTAAGTGTCCCAGATATTGTAACTTTCTTATTTTTATTGTGTTAAGAAGCTATTGTATCAATAGATAAATAAATAATGTAAATAAATGATCTGCTTTTTTGGTTTTAATGTTACAATGTAGACAAATAAAATGTAAAAACAGAAAACAAAAAATATATCAAAAAACTTACTACACTAGACACAAGAAACAACAATATAATGAATAGAAATGATGATTGGATAATTTTTAATTGGCCAAATTTTACTACATACTTAATGGTCTAAGGAAAAAATGGACAGAAGTCATTGAAAAGTATTTATGTTCACATTTTTTAAGTAATAATAATTGAAGTAACAAACTGATATTGTTTCTACCAGGAACATTTTGGGGTATGAAATTTTGATAGTAACTAGAAAATATCTCAAAGATCAAAATCTACCCTATGCCAATATGCGATTTTCCTCTGGGGGGTGGTGAGCACCCCAACTTAGGGATGGATAAAAAACCATCTTAGTTGCTTGAATATGAATTTTACTACAAAAATGTTCTTTAGAGTTTTTTCAAAAAGTCAATAAGCATATAAAATAATTTAATTTTATATGAAACTTTCCTGAAGACTGGATAAATGGTGACTTGAAAAACTTAAGTATAGCTGACCTCAGAAAAAATGTTTGATTCATGTGGGTGAAGCAAATCCCAGGTAATGAAAAAGAATATTTGTAAACCAAAGATGTAGGTCTAGAATGTTAAAAATTATACAAATGGGATATAATAAAATCTAGAAAAGAGAATTTAAAACAGACCTAGGAATCTGAGTGCTAATCCTTTTATAATAACAACCAGAAGACTTATTGAAACATATCTCTACATAAACTGTGGAAACACACTTTCGAATGTACCAAAGGCAAATTATAAGTATTTCAATACATTACTAGGCTGTAAATTTACACAATTGGGTATCAGCTGCTGTCCTTCTTGTTTTTGTGTTATATAATATATTTGGCTATTTTGTTTGTTTTTAGTAGTCACTATGATCCACTATTTAGTATAAATATTAACCTATTTGTTTTCTGTGAAGAGGGTTAAATACAAAATTGATTGGATAGAAAAGAGAAAGAGAACCTTTTTAGTTACATTAACACCATCACAGCTAGCACATCAAATCACTATTTAACCCCCACTGTGGCTCAGTGGTAAGAGCGCCTACCTTTAAACCTAAAGGTCGTGAGTTCGAATCTCGTCTGGGTGGAGAAATTTTCGTTTATTAAAAATTAATGAATGAAAAATAATTTCTATCCTTTTGCGATCGGTACTCACTGAAGGGACCGCAGACGTTCGGATACAATAAGCGTCTCTTAGCAAAGACAATGATGTCAACTTTGCTAAGTATCAAGACAATTACTCAACACACACACACACTACACTAGGTACCTGACTGTACCATGCCAATGATTTTAGTTGTCGAGGCATTAACTCAATAATAATTTAAATAATATATTACAATAAGTTGGTTGTACAGTTGCGGTCACGGAATAGTTTACAGGTTCACGTATCTAGGAGCCCATTTTTTAAATTTTTACTTCGTTTAAACGCACCTTTTACGTCAAAGTGACGTTGCCAGTGGTGTACTAGCTAGAATAGGTAGATTAAAATTAAAATATCAAAATATTTTACAAAATGAAAAATATAGAAAACAGTTTTTTGAATAAAATGGATTATGATCTTAATAACGAAAATAAAGAAGTCTTTTTTTTAATATGCATTTTATTTTAAATCTATTTTATATTAAATAACGATAAACAATGATAAATAATAATTAATATTTGGTGGAAGCCCCATTCTTGTCAATACAATTTTGCAGTCTTCTGTTCATAGATAGCACCAATCCCCTCATGTTATAGTTAACAAGCTCTTCCCATGCCTGCTCAATTGCTTCCCATAATTCAATTCTATTCCGTGGTCTAAGGTTTCTTTCATTTAGTTTCTTTGTTAACTCTGCCCACACATTTTCGACGGGGTTAAAGTCTGCACTACGGGAAGGCCACGGAAGAACATTAACATCAGTTTCTTCTAGCCATTCTCGAACAATTCTACTCGTATGCACCGGGCAATTGTCATGTTGCAAGATAAAGTCGTTGTTGGGGAATCTCTGGATCACCGATGGCAACATTGTGTGCTCAATAATATGTTTGTAATATAATCCTGTTAACTTCTCCTCTACATGATAACAAACGCCCGGGCCTTCGGCACTTATCCATCCCCATACGTTGACAGAGAATCCTCCACTATTTCTTAAATGATGCGTATACTGTTCATCATACCTATGATTTCTCGGCCTATAAACTCATATTCGACCATTATTATACGACTGAAATACTTTTTCATCGGAAAATACAACCCTAGACCAAAAATTCTCATCGCGGTTTATAAATTCATTACAAAATTCAACTCGTCTCCTCTTGTGATCCTCAGTCAAAAAAGGTTTCCGTGCAGCTACACAATTTAGCAGTCCACTTGCTTTAATTCTTCGACGTGCAGTGCGAATACTGCCTGGAAACGCTGCCTCTTCTCTTGCCTTTTGAGCTGTGGCAAAAGGAGATTCTCTCAAATAATCTACTAACATCTCATCCTGTTGATCTGTGGAAATCTTCTGCCCTCCTGAACCGCCCAACCGTGCTATAGAGTGAAAATTATCCCATCTTTGTTTAATCTTCCATATGCACATATGACTCACGTTCAAATCAGCAGCAACTTGCCTTAGTGACCAACCTTCTTCGAGTTTGGCAATTGCTCTTGCTTTTTGCGCATAATTCAAATGTATTCTAACCATTTTGGAAGAGTTTAATATACTTTTATTTTATTGTTGAACACTCGCGAAAGCATTGACGTTTTGAAATTTTTTGACTTTGACATTTATCAAATCCGTACGACACTGCAATTTTACAGTATTACAATATAAAAAGTAAGGTGTAAACTATTCCGTGACCGCAACTGTACATCTGTATTATTCTTATATGTTTGTATTATTCTGAGGTGTTGGTTATTTTAATAATTTATTGTTGTTAAGGTGTAACTTTTTAAAACTTGTGATTGTTATTTTAATAATATATTGTTTTTAAGATGTAACTTTGTAAAAATTGTAAGTAAATGGATGCGGTATATAAATAAATAAATAAATAATAAAAAAAAATCACTATTTAAGACAATTACATTTTCATTCATATACACTACATATGTCCTACAAAATATAGATCTTAATAGCCTTACCTGGGAAAAATCCAATCTGTGTTTCTGGCATGGCAAATAGTGACCTTTCTGTAGCTACCCTATATCTGCCATGTACTGACAAACCAACTCCTCCACCCATGACGATCCCATCGATAAACGCAACATAAGGAATTTTATAGGAACCGATTAAAGCATTCGTAGAATACTCAGTCTTGAAGAAGATTTGTCCCAAGGTTTTTTCTCCTTTTAGACCAGCCTCAGCCACAGCTCTTACATCACCGCCGGCACAAAATGATTTCTCTCCCGTACTTTTAATTAACACTAAAGACTTCTTGTTCTCCCAATTTTTTAATACTGGTTTGATGGTCTCGATCATGGATAGGTTGAGAGCGTTCAACGCCTTGGGCCTGTTAAGCACTAGAACACCTTTGTCGTTCACTTCTTGCACGATAACCTCACTTGTTTGAGACGACATACTTCGGTTTGTTGAGTTCAATAGGAACTTTAAGCTTCTTATAAGAGAACGGGGTTGTTTAATCATAGTAATCAAACTTATGAGTGTGAGATAAATAGACTTTTATTTTGAGTGCACTTAACAACGACCTTGGATTTTGAATTGAGTGAATTACCTCGCTGTTAAAAAGCGTTTTTAAAGGAAGTATTATAATTAGATGAGAATGAGAAATTAATAACCCAGTCGTTTAGTTTTATCTACATAATTTTTTTATCATTTTTTGACGTATTATGACGTTTTATAGTTTTTTGAATTGACCTTTGAACCATTTGAACTACTAATAAACGTCACACGTCAGATATCAGATTATCAGATATATTTCCCTCCAAAGTTAGCAAAAACGCAAAAAACCAACAGATTCAAATTCAAATATCATTGACGTACATAGTATTTATTTCGAGGCAATGAAACCTTTGTGTATAATTATATTTTTTTAGAATTACAAATAGCAATTATATGAACACGAGAGTTTCTCAATAGCATATATTTTATGCTATATTTTAATGTGTTTATTCTATCAATAGCAACACTTTTTAACCCATTTTTACAACTTAGATAATACAATATAAAAAGGTTGTGAAAATTATAATTTATGATAAAATTATATTTTATAATTGTTTTTTTACGTTTCTACCACTAATCCGGAAATCGTTTTCAAGTAAGGAGAATAATCTTTTTTAAAAACGATTTCCTGAATTTCAAGTCCAAACGTCAAATAACAATTATAAAATGTAATTTGAAATATTTTAAATTTGACCATGTTAGGGCATGGTACAATGAACACATGTATTCATCTCTCTTCTCTTTCCTTGTCTAAGATTCATCATACCACCATACGTACCAAAGCAAAGAATATAGATAAAATATTCTTTGATTGTAGTGATTAGTATTCTGTGATTGTACCATGATGTTAGGGTGACGTCACGACGCCATATTTGTTGGTTATGGTTATATGTAATATACTAATATATTCCATCCTTTTGATGTAGAGAAATTCGAAAAGGAAATTGAAATAAAGTAATTACTATTATACGAGGTATGTTTCAATTATCAAACTCTCAATGTGCCTTTACATTGAGTATCTTATTCATAACATGGCATTTCAGTCCTATGGTTTTTCTGGTCCTACAGTAAATCATAACCAATTTATTTTAATCGAAAGCGTTAAGATACGTCACTAGAAAAACCATTATTTTTATAGAATCCACTTTAAATCATTTAGGATAGTTTCATTCAATTCTACAAACACATTTAGTTGATCATTAAATAAACATTGAAAAATAGTTAAATTTATCTTTAACTGTTTTAGGAAAAGGTTTGAACTAATTATGCCTGGAATTATTTGTGCTGTTTCGACTTGCAAAGAATATCATAAATCTTTAAAAGATCAAGGCCTCAAATTACATCCATTTCCCAAAGACCCCACACTAAGAGAACGATGGTACACATTTTGCAAAAGACGTGGGAGATGGAATCCTAGTAAAAGTAGAATATGTTCTCACCATTTCAAAAATGAGGACTTTGTAAAAGGTTTAAACATCTAATACTAATGTCTGCTTCATATCTGCTTTAGTAAATTTTGGAATTACGAAGCTGATACTTATGATTTAATATTTTAGGTACATGCAAGGGAAAATTGAAAAGAACTGCAATTCCAACAATTAGATGCCCCAGTATAAGTCAGCATACATCTGATATATTAAGAAAAGTAAATAATGAGTACATACATAACTCATTTAAAAAAAGTAAATGTATTTATTTTAATTTATCTCATTCTGTAGATTAAATTTGGTACTATATTTATAAGGATATAGCTCTATTGTCATCATGCTGGTACTACAGTCCTTAGATGACTTTCTTCAGGCCTAAACTGTCTTGTAACATTAAGTTCTTTCTTCAGTAATTAGTACATCATTGTCTTAAATTTCTTTAGCTAGTTAGCTCTATCCATCGCCAACAATTGCCAGTTTGCTCCACCCATTTTTCTTGCATCTTTGTCAACCCCATCCCCGGACCTAAGCTTTGACCTATCTCTCCATTTACTTCCCACCGGCTGTGATGTAAGGATTCATCTAGAAGGGTTGTTCTTCTGTGATCTTACTAAATGTCCTACACATCTTAGCCTGCCTATTTTTATGATAAAGTTTTTATGACCAGATATCTTTTTAATTTGTGGTATGTCTTATTCTTATTATACATTCTCCTTCCTTCCTTCCTTATTATATATTCTTATACATTCTCCTTTAAATACTCTTTTTTTGACAGATGCCACTGAATATTCCTGTCAGGATTCTTCATTTAAATATGAGTAAGAGGTTTTCATATTTCCAGTCCATATGTAAGCTCTGGCAGTAAAGGGTTTTGTATATTACTAATTGACAGAGTTAATTTTGAGATAGTCATTGCTAAACTTAAAATTTGGGTTTTCATAATAATCAATCTCTAGGCTTTACAACTTATCATGTAAAATAGAGGCAATACAGATTGGGGAACATTTTTTGATGGTTCTAGGGTCAAATCAGTCACAGATATTTTACCTATTTTTTTTAATGCTTACATTACCATTACTCCAAATGAGTAATCTTTAATACACAATTTGAAATTTTTTAAAGTATCTTCATGTGACACTAATGCAATTGATCTTCAAGCAGATAAAAATGGATATGCCTTAATAACCCATATCTAAATGCAATTAACACAGCTAAAGATCAGTGAAAAACAATACTCTATCCTTGTCAGGTTTCTACCTTGAGTATGCATAGTTATTTATCCTCCTCTCTATTAGACTCACATGATGTCAGACATTCTTAAAGAAAATTTTTGAAAATCTACAATGAAACTAAATTCCTGTAGTTTGCTGTATACCATGTATCACAAAAATTTTTATTTAAAAAATTACTTTATAAAAGGTATATTAATAAGAACCCTATACATCATAGAACATTTTCGGAATAACTATTTAATCATCAGTGCTATCTGGATGTACATGTTTGAAGCCACTAAATATGTTGGTAAAAACTTGTTAAATGTAAATATTACGAAAAGTTTGGAAGACCCAGTCTTATCTAAAGCTCAACCAAAAATCAAAAGCAAAACGAAGAAAAGATAGAACATTCAGATGTCCAACGTGGAATATACAAGAATGGGACAAAAAGATGGTAGTGATCAAGGCGTAGAGAAAGCAACATCGACATACTATTCTTTGTTTCAAGTTAAGAAAATAACATTACGCTTATGGAGATCAGTGTTGCCAAAACTCTCAGACACTCTCTTTTGCACGGATGTCCAAGATATTCCCTTTGCTTAATTTTTGAATTTTAATTTTCAATTAACATTTAACTGTAAAATCAGAATAATTACTAAATAAAAGCCTTATTATCATTATGTAGTCAAAGAACGACATAAAATAGCTGACATACGCACATCGTATTATTTTAAGTTGCAATTAGTAATTAGATAAACGCATTCCAAGCGGTCAATATTTTCTACTGATTTCTATGATTCATGGCATATCGTATTCTCACCGAAAAACAAATAAACTGTCGCTACTATAATTAAAATAAGATAAAATAAAATTATCTTTTGTAAATACTATTTATCTAATTAAAATCATTTTCTCTACTTTTCATCTTTTGTTTCGAATGGGCACTTTTGGTCAATTACGTTAAAAAAACATTAATTTAATTCGTGTTTGTGGAAACGAAAATACAAATTATACAACCCTAAATATTGTGCTTGTGTGTGTCGTGGCAACGCCGCGTTTCTATCGTCCATAAGAAATACATGGTCCTATCTCCGCAATGTTATTTTCTAAACGTGGAACGTAGTATAGTAACAACAGAAACCAAAAAGAAAGGAAATGGAACAGAAACAATAGAAGACCATATCCGCTGCTGGAACGGAGTTAATAAGGAATGTAGAGCAAAGGCAGCAGTGGGAATACTAGTTAAAAATAAGTGGATGAACAGTGTTTGAAAATGGGAGCCAATCAACGAGAGAATAATTAAAATGCATATAGACATATATGATAAAGAGACAGTGATACTCGGAGTATATGCACCAACAGATGATTACCAGAGAGTAGAAAAAGAAAATTTCACGGAACAACTTCAACACCAAATAGAGCTAATCAAGAAGAACGTGGAGATAATTATAACAGGAGACCTTAACGACAGAACCGGAAGAAAAGAAAACAATATAGTGGACATATTTGGAGAGGATGAACAAAAGTTAACGGAGAACATCTGATTGAATCATGTGAACTAAATAACCTAAAAATCACCAATGGAGTCTTCAGACATAAAAATAATCATAAATCAACATGGACGCAAGAAACACGAAAGCTGAAATTGATAATAGACTACATAATAGTTAAAAAAGAGACCACAATAAAGATAAAAGATGTGAGAGTCAGAAGAGGAGTAGAATGTGGAACTGACCATAAACTACTGACGGCAAAAAATGGGCATTAATTGGAAACATAACAGGATCCTTAGGATGGGTAGGGGGTGAAATAGGGAAAGCTTGGAGTTTATCAAATACTAATTATGACAAACAAGTTTATGGCCATATTTAGGTGATTATGTTAATGATGGTAATTTGTAGCAGAAGTTTTACAAAAGAAATGAAGACCTATTTATAGAAACAACATAACTGTATTTTTAATATTTTACATACAATAGAAAAAATCTAATTTCTATGAAAGAATTGGAAATTTGACTATTATATATAATATCTATAAATAATATCATTTCCAAGTTTCCAAATTCTTTCCTAGAAATTATGTAGGTTTTTTCTATTTTATGTAAAATATTAAAACTACAGTTATTGTATGTTGTTCTTGTAAAGAGGTGTTCAAATGTTACTCTTATGAATATGATTCAATTGTATATCTCATGTTGACGTTTTATATGCAAAATTCATAGTTTTCGTTGTTAATAACTCATCAATGCCTTTTTATTCTACTCTATACGTATACATGATATAAAATATTGTACTCGTACTGCCGGCAGATGCATTTTATCCAAGCCGGTCCTGTGAGACAATGAGCAATCAACAGCTGGAGAAAACCGACAACCCTGCGTGTTTATTCTCCATAAGAAAAGCATTGCCGTATCTTACCCGTACTGCACTCTCAGTGTGACATTTTCTATAGACTACAATTTTCCAGGGATCATTTACATTGGAGTTTAGGACAATGGAGTAATGTTCTTTTTACGGATGAGTCAAGATATTGTCTTCATTCATCAGATGGGAGAGAACGAATATGGCGTTGAACTGGAGAGAAACTTGCGGAGTGCGCTTTCAGTCCCCGTGTTAGCCATGGGGGGAGTTCGGTGATGATATGGGCAGGAATATCCCAAGAGGCGCACACTGAATTGGTATTTATTGAGGGTTCGTTGACTGCACACCGGTATATTGAGGAAATTTTAGCGAATCACGTAGTACCCTTTTCTATCTATCTACCGCCGATATATCGGCGATGATGTTCTATGCAAGATAATGCGCGACCCCACTCTGCAATGTGTGTCACGCAATATTTAGAGGAAGTTAGTACATATTAATTAAATAAATTGACTAGCGTGTTTGCCAGATCTGAACCCAATAGAGCACGTTTGGGACATGCTTGGTAGAAATATTACAGGTCGCGAAGTCGCTCCAGCCGTAATTAACAAACTTCGCTTGCCTCTAGAAGAGAAATGGCAAAACATCCAGCAAGATGATATTCGCAATCTCATAGACAGCATGAACTAACGTGTACAGCCGTTATAGAGGTTAGGGGAGGCAATGCGAAGTATTAAGTTATTTTTTAGTAGTTTTTCTTTGTTATTTGCGTACTAGATTAAGTAACATTTAAGTTGTTTTTTTTTTTGTTTTGTTATTGTTATCTTTGTTGCTTTTAACCATTATTTAAATATAGTGCTTCTGGGATGTCGATATGACATTCCTTACATTCCATATCAGTCACCAAAGCCTCCATCGTCGTATTACAAATTGATACAAAAGATAATGGTAAACATAGGAAAAGTCGTAAATTATGGGTGGCAACGTAATTTCGCTCCTAAAAATGAACCAATCCATATTTTCACATGAAACAAAAAAAATAATACTTAGAACGACATGATTGCAACCGAAAAACAAGGTTTTACGAAAATCCGCAAAGGGAATTATTTCACACTATGTTGCAAAATTAGGATAAAAAACCACCTTTCGATTAACCCCGTATAATAAGTCAAATACAAAATTTTATTAAAAAACTCACTATACTAAATTAAAATTTATAAATTTGTACAGCGTGGTAAAAAAATCATCAAAATAGGGCTAAAAATAAAAAAAACTGAATTGAATTTGACCAAAATTTTCTCCGTTGCGTTTTTTTGCATGTGATTGTCTGAGTCTCCGTTTTGCATCTGAGTAAAGGTCTGCTGCAAGCTCAACATTTTTGGAGTTGAAGTAATAATTGCAGTGCATTTTCTTCTTTTACTTGAGTAGGTGGTGCTACTATATAAGAGTGATAATGTATTTTGTTTCTTCTGCTTTTTTTTGTAGAGACAAATCTCCTCTAGTGTTCAAATTTTGTTCGTTTTGTTGAAGATTCTTTACTGGTGTTAGTTAGAACATTGAATTACGTTGCACAGAATTTTGAGCGCACATTGTTGCTTTAGTTTGCCTTGGAAAAATTAAATATATATTGCTCTGAAGTAAAAATGACGAGATAAGAGTCGAATTTAAACTAATTGTAAAG